TAACCTTTAAGAAATTGTATAATAAGGAAGAAATTTTTAAGAATGGTAGGAAGCCAAGGCTAGACAGCTTATTGAATTTGATTGGTCCCCATGGAAAAGGTAATTAGAGAAGTGCGAAAGAGATGATCATGCTTATTTAAAGTTTATGCATTCAGGCCAACATTATGGCAACAAGTGCTTTGCCAAATTGAACACGAAATTTTTATTTGTGCATGTCTGCATGGAAAATTTGTGTTTCTTTTTAGCTCTAAGAATATTGCGTCTCCACAGTACTGGTGAGATTTTACTGCAATAAGGAATGCAATGTGGGAATGTCTAATCCTTGTCTGATTGAAATAAACCATTAATACGGTGTTTGTTTTGAGGAATCACTCCATTCTAAATGAGGTGGTGCATCATGAGTCTTTTCCTCAAATTTGGTGGAATGACTCCAGTTCTCGTACTAGTAATAATTATTAGCTTGTGGGGAATGGGGTGATGATGGATCAGCACATTCCATTCCACAAACCAAACAAACAAAAAGTGAGGAGTGAGAAGATGATGCACTAACTCATTCCTCAACCCAAACACCCTATAAATTTAACACTGGACATTACTAGGTAGTGTTGGAACCACAATCATTTTGCCTAGAATTTTACAGCAAATCATGTACTAATACAATTTTATGCCAAGTAGTGTGTTGTTTTAAGTAACTGAGAAAAAATGTACATATGGAGGCGATTAAAAAATTAGCCAAGGTATGTATAATCAAAATGAGCATGAAGACCCAAAAACTAAAGCATGCTCCACGAGTCAGAAGCAATGTTTAGATGCTTATTAGACAGATTGTGATTAGGGAAAAAAAAAGGCCACGCCTGAAAATCAAACAGTTAACGCAGACGCGGCGCCTAACACCGCAGGGAAACATGCGCGAGGTAGAGACAAGGCGAGCAAATCGTTTCTTTTAGCCAGTGCAGGGGATGCCGGCGGGGCGGGGGATTGGAGAAGTTTCCCCGCGGGGCGCAACAGGGGACTGGCTACTGATTCGGCTCCCCCGGTACCATCCCATCCATCCGGAGGGAGGTGACGTGAGGTGAAGCGTTCGGAAACGGGAGACGTATCACGGAGGAGAGTACCAAGAGAATCCTCCGTCGAAGGAAGGCAAAGCAACGAACCTGGCGGTAATTGGGCGCGCCGTCGATTTGCGGGGTGAGGCGCTTGTTCTGGCAGCCCGGGAAGTGGTCGCTCTTGAGGATGGTCTTCTTCCCGAGCACGGAGCCGCCCCTGCTGCTGATGACCTCCTCGGCGGCCGCGGCGGCCCGCACGTCCTCCATCTCCCCGGCGTCCATCCTCGCGGCGGCGGCGGCAGGCGACAGCCACAGCAGCAGCGGCCTGCTCCGTCCCCTGAATAATTCCGCGCGGGGGCGCCTGCCTCTGGCTGCGGCCCGGTGGCAGGGCCGGGCGCGTGCGACGGCGGCCCAGGTGCGGAGCCGCGACGGCGAGGCGGTGGCGAGGAGGAGCAGCAGGAGGAGGGAGCGCGAGGCCGAGGCCGAGGCGGGGGCGGGCAGGGGCCGGGGAGGGGTGGAAGCGGAAGCGGAGGCCAATAGGCGGAAGGGATGGGGCGGGGGCGAAGCGAAAGGAGAGGGCCGGTGCGGCCAGGCAGGCCTTGTAGCAGGCAGGCGCGACGGGATAGGCGTAGGCGGCATCCGGTGGCCCCGCCGTAGCAGCAGCAGGGCCCAGTGCGCTGTAGGCATCATCGATCGCCGCCTCTCACTGACACCTCTGTCCCTCTCTCTGACTGTGTTCTCGATCTGGATGACAACGATGGCGTCGTCTCTGAGTCTCTTACAATGTGCCCCCGTGCGACTCCAGTTCCTTTCTTCGAGACGAAGAAGAAGATGCGTCGTCCTATCCTACGGAGCCATGCCGCCCCAGTCATCAGTTCATCACAGCCACACCATGACCACACGCGCGATAGGCGTGTGTGCCCGTTTCCTGGGGGAGTTTTTGTTCTGATCCGGCGTGCCGCTGCCGGTTTTTTGACCCGTCCAGCGCCCGCTGTTCCAGTTGGTCGAGTACTCGAGTCGAGCCGGACGCGGTGCCGTTGCACGCAGGGGCTGGGCTAGGCTAGCCCTCGGTGGTATCGTCGTGGCATGGCATGACCTGGCCCAGTTATTTAATTAACAACTCTCTCTATTGATAAATGTGTGTTAGTTCGTGTTCGAGAAGCGTGATTAACAAACTCCACTCCATAGTTGGTCATATAGTATTAAGTAATGGGTTACCGTACGCTAATCCAAGAGCTAAACGAGTAGCCGGTTCGTTTCGTTATAAACGATCGTGGATTATTTACTGCTGGTTGGTTTGATGTGAGAAAAAAATATTATTCTGTTTTATAATCCACGATCGTATACGAGCAAGCAAACTGGAGGTCGGCGTCGCTGTCACACAACACAAGCACTTATTCTGATCTCATGGTGGGTGGGGTGGCCATCAGGATCAGGGATCGCATGTGTGGTTATTATAATAAAAAAAACCGGCTTGCCTCCAACCTCCAACCAAGTATAATATCGGGCTCGAACGGGACGGGTGACGCCGGGATCGGGCGGTGACGCCGACCGTGCCACGCCTTTTTGTCGCCGTCGTAAGTAAAAGAAAATCGACCAAGGCGTTCACGGTCGCGGTCGGCCTAGCCTGCGGCCGCACGCATATGGGCCACGCGCCCACGTCCGCGGCGCAAGAGCAAAAGCAAACGAGGATCACGCGAGCGCGCACAGCCGCGTCTTCTCGGCCACGGCATCCGCGTCGGTTTCCACTTCCCCGGCTTATTCCCCGCCAGGCTTCCTCACTTTTCCCATGTGGCGCCTGGCGCGCGCGCGCGTCTCGCGGCTCCGTCCGCTTGCGGCTTGCCTCGCCGAATGCGTGCTGCCAGCCGCGCCCCGCGCCCGGAATCCGCGTATCCGACGGCGGAGCCCGGGGATGCCGTGGCGTGCGCGAGGCATATTCGGCTCGCGCCCGGTCTTATCCGACATCCTGGCGCGGGTGCGTGCGCCTCCCGTTGCCCGCGCTCGTGCAGTCGTGCTTCAGTGCAGTGGCAGTGGCAGTGGCAGGGCAGGAACCTGTGGCGTGCCCGTGCGTGCGGCACATGAAGCAAGCGCCCCGCGATCCAAAGGAAAGCCGGCTGGATCCGATCTGATTTGTTGATCCGGGGCGTCCCGACGCGCCGTCGCGTCAGGGCCACCACAAAAAGGGCACCCCGACACTACTGTAGCCATCTACTCCGAGTAGCGACTCCTTTGCCGTGCTGCAATGTGCAAGGTCCAATTTGCATGCAAACCCGGGCAGGCCGCCTGCTCACTCCTTTGCCGCCTTCAAAACTAGCCCAGGGGTATGCAACGATGACGAGGATTACTTGTTAAATAAACAACGAAGGCCAACCGAGGATTACTTGTTAAACAACGAGATGGTGGTGAGACTCGTTCACGCAGATATATGGTCTCATTTTGGTCCGGTGGAGATGGCCGAAACAAGATTTACTATGGAGCTCGGCCCGGGAGATGCAGGTTGTAGAGAATGGATCCATACATCAACCTTCCACGTTAGATAAATTGTATTTTTGTTGCGAGTAAAGAGGGATTTCATTTAGCTAAGACGAGAGTTACAGTCATGGTTCGAGAAGTCAAGAACGCATGCAGGCGCATGCCCCAACCATATCGCAGTATGAATGGATCGTCTAGCTAAATGAGCAAGCTAATGAGCAACTCTATTACAATCCCTCTTAACCTTTCTAACTTTGCAGTCAGTAGCTGCAGGAGTTCTTTCGCTTCTAGGGCAGTCCATCTGATCTCTAACCTATCATATTTGCTGTCCCCAATCACAGCAACCAGCCTTGCTGAATTCGACTCCAAAATAGGCGGGCCTGAGACGGTCTCCAACAACCGTTACCAAAAATACAAGACATATTCCACATTTGGGTAGCGCTACAGGCAAATGGTTCAATACCCATTTTTGTCTTTTTCAACAACAAGAACCAAAAGAGAATCCTTTCTGCAAATGAGTCTCCAAGAGAGAGGATGCTCCGATTTGTATTATACCTCTTCTGACACAAAAAATAGATCTTCCATATAGGTACTCTGTTAGAAAATATAAGTATTATATTGGAGATTTATTTTAGGTTTGGGTGTTCTAATATGTCTCCTATTGGAGAAAGCCTGAGCACGAGACCAAACAGAGGCCTTCCGCACAAGCTTGGCTTTCCGCTTCCTCTGCTCAGGCGCAGCGGAACAACACATGCCAAGCCGTCAAAAAAAACTTTGCCGTTGTGATCCCTAACGACCACTCAAACACTGGCTTCACCTGTATCATTGATAAAGGAGTAGACAAGTTGTATCCGCTCATGTACACAACCAAATAACATCTCAGTTCTTCTGTATTTGCTCGTACAATCTTACCAAACCTTCTACATTTTTGGAATACAGTTCCGCCCAGCGTCCGTTCATGCAAAATATCCGGCAACCCCTGGTGACGTTTCGCGGGTGTCGTTTCTCTCATTAGAGATGTCAACTATTTTTTTGCTTTATTAAAATCATATCATGTGTTTACCAAACCTATTTAATTAATGAAAATGGATGAAGCCGCAAAAAACACTATTAACTGTAGCAGGGAAGTAGAGTAATTTAGAATAGTTTTTGAGAGTCGTGGGAGACAATTTCTTGATTCCGGCAAGAATTTAGGGGCAAAAAAGAGTTTTTTTCGGATGCAAATACGAAATACCCTAGACCCTGGGCTTCATTTCTTTCTTCTCTGGCAGCCCATGCCGGCCCAACTCAATGGATTGCGAGAACAGGCCCGCCGCCGCGCCGCCCACTAGGTAGGTTTTGTTTGGGATCTCACCGTTTCTTCCTCGTCTTCGTCTCTACACGGTGCCGCCGCCGCCGCTGCTGCCGGAAGCAAAGCCCAAGCCTGAGAGTAAGCCATGGTGATTGGTTCTCTCATCGCCTCGAGGTTCGCCAGGTCTAGCCATGCCCTCCCCGCTGCCGCCGCCGCGGCCATCTCTCAGGTGCCACCTTCCCCTCTCTGGTATTGTTGGTTGTTCGTGTGTCGATGTTGATCTGATCAACTTGTATGTTCCACCGCGTGGCCTGATCAGGCTCCCAGGGCCCAGCACACCGCATTTCCACTACTCTCCGGCCTTGGAGAAGCGGCTCGTGCTTTCAGGTAAATATAACTACAACAAGCTTATTGTGTATGCGGATCATCACCAACGCTAGCTTGTACTTCTATGTCAGTCTACCTCTTGCATTGCTTGTTGATCGTTGAATTGTATGCATCTACTGCTGTGTGCAGCTCAAGGGCTCTATGGAAGGGAGCATTCGTTGATGCTTTCCTGGCTAAAATTAAGAAGAACAGAGAAAATATGAATGGCAAGAAGATTTGGTCTCGTAGATCTTCTATTTTGCCGGAATTCGTTGGTTCCTCTGTGCTCATTTACAACGGAAAAACTCATGTCCGGTGCAAGATCACTGAAGGGAAGGTTGGCCATAAATTCGGAGAGTTTGCTTTTACACGGAGACGAAGGCCGCATCGAGCAATACAAGCAAAGGGAAATCAAGGAAAGGGCAGAAAGTAAAAGGAGAAATGTGCATGAAAGGTGAGGTTATATATATCATAAGAAATGAATTTAGATGTCAGCTGATACAGCATAAAGTTTACCTGCAGTTTCAGGTTTTTTTTTGTTTATCTGAACTTTTAATTAGTTGCTGGTAGGAAAAAACATTCAGCTTGCACTAATTTGGGTTCTCTATCACAATAATCTGGGTTGTTTGTATTTAGCTTCGAGCCTAACTGGTGTGAAATGATGGAACACAGGAAAAAAAGAACAAACCCGCATTGCCCACATCCTGCTTGTGGTATTCTTCTAGATCTGATTGGTAGGTTTGATCAATGTCCAATCTATGTTTCGAAAATTGATGTATTAGTTGAGTAGATTACACTCTATATTAAAAAATGATGTATTAATAGATTGTAGATAATTTCATTACCTTCCTAGAAAGATAAAGGATCCGGAGATTTTTAGGTAGATCAGGAGTTATGGCAATCTGAATTCGACCTGTTTTCCTGCACAGTACTCTGTTCCGCTGTACAATATTCTTGTCTGTTTATCTTGTAGCACAATTTTAACCTCTGGAGATGATTGAATTATATTTTTGTTAGTTTTAGTCTTTTTTTTGGGTATAGATTGCACATACAAAATTGTGAAGTGAATGCATGTTATAAGAGGGGTGATGTATCTAAGTATAGGAGCATGTCTTTTATTTATGTGTTTGGTAAGTGTGTTAGAGCATCTCCAAGAGTTCCCTAAACATCCTCCTAATCCTTGTTTTTTTAGAAAGATGGGGAAAAAACCCTCTCCAACAACTCCTAATATTTACTCCTAATCTTTTAGGACTTGGGAAATTCCTCCCCCTTCCGCGTAACTTTACGCGCTGCTCCCGTCGCGCGTATCCGTCCCCGAGCAGCCACGCCTCGAAGAACTGGTCGGCCACCAGGGGCCACGCCAGCATGGGCACCCCCGCGGCCACCGCCTCCAGCGTCGAGTTCCAGCCGCAGTGCGTCAGGAACCACCCCACCGCCGGATGCCGCAGCAGCGCCACCTGCGGCGCCCACCCGCGCACCACCACGCCGTGCCCCGCCGCCGCGGCTCGTGCCTCGAACCCGTCGGGGACCACGGCGCCGCCCACGGCCCACACGAGCGGCACGGCGCTGCGCTCTAGCTCCTCGGCCAGCGCCGCCGCCACGGCGGGGTTCAGCACGCTGAGTTCGGCGAGCCCGGCGGCTGCTTTGGCGTCCGCCTCCCGAGCCCACGGGCCCACCGCCCGAGATCGCTGAAGCCTAGGTCCTCGGCGGCTGCTCCAGGTACCTCCCTCCAGCGCCACAAACACGAAACCCCAGCTGTCGTTCGGGTTCCACAGGAAGTTCTCCCTCACAGACGCGGCGACCCTGCTGCGTCGAGCGCGCGCCATGTACTTCCTGTACATCATCAAGAGTTCACGCCACTGGAACGACGGCTCGCCGGGATCGCGCGGGAACGAGGCGCTGAACTCGTCGTCGTCGTCACACTCATGGGCGCCTCACCAGCGGGGAAGGTCGAAAGTCGCGGGGGACGGCGAGGTGCCGAGGACGCCGGACGGCGAGAACATGATCCCCGCGGCGCCGATCTTGCGAACCAGTGGCTGAGCCCATCCGCAGAAGAAGTCAGCGACGACGGGGTCGTGCTGCGCCTTAACCCACGCGAGGATGGACCTGCGCAGCTCGGCCAAGGCATGGACGAAGGCGGGGAAGTGCCCCGGGCTGCAGCCCTTGGTGGCCCCTGGTAGCCTCAAATTTGATTTTTTAGATGACATTTATTAGAAACTCTTGGAGATGACTATCTTTTCCCCTTCTAATATCTTTTTAGGAGTTGCCAAACTACAAGTTTTTAGGAGAAAAAATTAGGGAACTCTTGGAGATGCTCTTAGTGAGCTGTGCCTCACGTCAGGGTTGATCTTTGTCGGCAAATCTGTCACATGGTTAAGAGATGCTAGCCCAAAATTTTTCTGCTTTTATTGTGGCTGGGTTAAATTGATTTGTCCTTCCAGTGCAATTGAGCTATGAATAAGCTACATCCCTTGCTAAAGTGACTGTGTGATCTGTGGCTCTGTGTAGACAAAGGCTGGAACCATCCTTTCCACATGTGTTATCGGCATGCTTTTAGTGTGCATTATGCATATATAGGGTGGTAGCTGTGAAAAGATCGCCACACCTAAAGCCACAATCTGTACCAGTACCTTTTGATATGCAGTGAGCAACAGTACGCCTATGAAGCAAGCATGAAATGCAATGCGCGTTATGACATCTTATGCCAGCTATTATGTTAAAAAAAAACATCTTATGCGAGCTAGAAGGGAACACAGTTGAGATATGTGGCCATAAATATGAGTAACGGTGTTCTCAATTGTTTCACTAAATGTGTTTTCACTATGATTGCAAAAACCATTAAGCTTACAGGGCAGTGCTAACTTCTTGTCATTTGCTCAGATATTTACACCACTGTGTTTATCACTTTTCAGGTGGGTTTAAGGACGGTGGGATGAGGGCATAGTTGACGAACAAGCACTTGAATCACCAGAGTTTACGATCTGGACTGCTTTTTTCTCAGACCAAATAATTTCAGGAGAATGTTAGCTCATCTTACTTAAAAGATTTGCCCATGGACTCTGTTCCCCTGTTCCCTCTGTTAATTACTGCTTACTATTGGTGTTATGAGCAAACATTAAACTGATTATAAGTTATGCTTTAGAGATTGTTTTTGGCCAGAATTAGCTACCTTTCCGTTAGAATATTTCTTGTTGAAACTGACTGCTGCTAGCAGATTTGAGTGCCTCAAGTAGCCGTTTGATTGATCCTTTGCTCTGCCTCAGCAAACAAGTTTTGCCTTGCATCATTTGCCAAAGAACCCCACGAGGTTCGTATGGTAGCCACTTAAATAGCAGAAGGATTTCCTGAAGATCAGTACACATCCTACAATACACAATGTTAGTCAGGGAGACCATGAAGGATTTTCTCGCCCCAAATTTGCAATACAGTAGATGAAGCATGTCAGCCGGCAACAGGGAAGATGATATTCAAGTATTAACACCACAATAACCAGGTCATGTGAACCTGTCTATTGCTCTTCTTACATTAAATTTAATTTATTTAGAAGTACAGAATCATCCTTGAGATCACTCGCAGCAGATTACTTGAGGGCCACAAATCTTATTATGTATCTAGGAGCAAGGTACAAGGCTTCCATCTTTACATACTACTTCGATTTCTTTACAGTGGAACAGTCTGATCTGCCTCTGTTGCGCCAGTTGAACAAATATATTAGTGAAAGATTATACTTGATGATCTAGCTGGACTCGAATAGCAGTGAGCAACACACTTAATTCAACAATTGACTGGAACCGACAGCCAGTCACAGGTCTGGAAATTGAAATGAGGGCCCAATTGCCCAGATGTCTCCACAGTAATACAAATACTCCTTGGGACTAGCGTCAAGGCTCGATGCTCTGGCCTCTCTACAATTGTACTGCTGACGACCTGAGGTAATGGAGAAGTGCAGATATCACGACTGGCACTAACACCCCGCAGAATCTTTTGATGTGAACTGAGTTCTGGTGAATTCGGATCCAGAAGTTGATGAAAAACGGAGATGCTGGTTACGTGCAGTGATGTTGTAGATGATGACGATCCATAGGGGCAACGAGTTAAACGATTCCAAAGCCATTTGGCAACATTTACACAGGTTTAATTTACAATGCCACAAATTTAAACCATATAATTTTTAATTCAGCGAAAGAAACGAAGATAATTGAAAATTTGCTGCCGCAAAAGGAAATTGTGCCTTTCTAAATGGAAGCTGTGTAACATTGTCAATTTGTTTTACAATATTCAACTCAGCTGATTGCAAGGTTTCCATATATGATATACCCTGTTCAAAAAGATCGTTTTGCACATTCCAGTGGCAGTTTAGCCTGAATAATGGCTAAACATTAGCTTCAAGTCAACAACGATCATACATTTTGCGCATGCTTCTCACCAATTTGAGCGCACACAGACCCAGAGTATTTGCAAAACCCCACGTTTGAAGTTAAACTGAACTTTCTTACATTTTCTGGTTAATAACTGGCTGCCGGGCAATACAAGATGGTTTAGAAAAAATAATGAAAAATGGAAACCTCGCGCACACACAGGCAAAAAGATGTATAAGTCACAACAGATCCAAGTACTTCACTATATCCTCCAGCCTATGTAGCATCATGTTTGCTTTGAACTGTGACACAAACATCCGAGTTAGCGTAACCAGAATTAGATGCGGTGCAACTAGTGTAAAAATCAACAATGAGGACGTCTGAATTATACAACACAATCAGCATCGGGCACTAGAAACTGAAACAGCATATCAAACAAAGCTTCCAATAGAAATGTAGAACAGTGCACTCAGCACGTCCAGGGAATCTAGAATCAGACAGATTTCCTGAAATGTCTCCATTGTGTAGAGTATAAATTTTTAAATCTCAACCCTACCAAAAAAGGTATGTAACTATGTATTTCCTAAAACACATGGCATTAGTCCTCTGCTTTTTAAGGCAGATTAAACGACTGAAGCGACTCAGTGTCACCATGAGTTTTACACAACGTTAAATTCAGAGCTTCACCTCAAGCTCAGCACAGGGCAATAGGAAATCACCATTCTTTGCTGGTGCCAAGGCATGAGGTATAACATATAGAATGTCATTAGTCCCTTTTCAGGGCTGTTCTACAATGGAAATGGTAATGTACTTTTGAATGCTCTCTCATTTGGGCTCAGTTAATCGTGGGTTGCTAGCAGTTATTTCTGACTACATAGAATATAACAAAATAGAATCTTTTTACAAATTCATAATTTCTGTGGAGAAAGTTATAATTCCATACAATCTTGAAAACTATAACTCAAGGCAACAACAAAAACAAAACCTTGGTTCATCCTGAACTGTGCACATGTAACTAGATGGCTGTCTATCATTTCACACACTGCGGCTAGTGATAAACAATTGTAAACGCTTTATCCAGAGGTCAGCAAAGATTGCAATCTCTAGACACTCTTCAAGAAAGTATTCAAATAAATTGCAAGTTTAATCTACAAGTGCAGCAAAAAGCAAACAAAGTTGTAGAGAGGTGACTTGGCCTCAAAAAGTTGTTGACTTATAGACATCCTAATTCCAAACCATACCTCAGAAAGGTGAATTATTAATTGTTCTTTCAACTTGAAAAATACGTAGAAAAAAATGCCTTACATGCTTGAAAATTACCATTTACTGTTCTCAATCAAGCAAACAAAGAGTCTTAAAAGTTAGACTCATAAGCATACCCTTTTGTGGCTTTTGGCTCTGTGGTAGCTACTCTTGAGGCTTCATAGCCGGGAATAGAAGAACTTCCTGAGTTTGCATTGAAAGAATTATATATCAGTCAATAATATCCCAGTGAAAGCCAAGAATGTCAAGAAAGCATTGGACATTCATATGGAATAGAACTGACGGAAATACTCGAACCTTAATGTTCTGGGAATCTGTTAGCAACATCGTGAGGCGATCAATTCCCAAGCCCCAACCGCCTGTTGGTGGTAGACCATACTCAAGGGCAGTACAGAATGTTTCGTCCAGGGCCATAGCTTCATCATCACCAGATTGACGATCCTGGACATGATACGAAGTTAAAGACTATACAACTCACCACTCCTAATAAAGGAAGGATAGAGAACAGCAAATGCAAGTCTCAGTTAATGCCCAGTTGAAAATATAACAGGAAAAGCGTTCAGGAACTTTTGTGCTCTTCTTGTCATTCTATCCCTTCCAACATACATTCCTTTTTGGTTCTATATTCTTAGGCGCACACAAGCATGTGCATGCTTGGACTCAGAAATCCAAAACGTAGCAATGACTTAGGTTGCTTCTAAAAGGAATTTACAATCTGCAAGGTTACTTGAGTGTTCATTAAGTTAAAAATTACCTTTAGTTGCTCCTCAAACCGTTGCCTCTGCACAACAGGATCGTTTAACTCTGTGTATGCATTGCACACCTACAGGCATTTGAAGGTCATACTGTGAAACATCAAGGAAGCAAAACATGGAATGCCAATGAAGAACAGTCTATACCTCATGTTTGTTAACAAATAGCTCGAACCTCTCAGTCAATCCAGGTCGGGACCTATGCCACTTTGCCAATGGACTCATTATCTCTGGATGATTGATGATAAATGTTGGATTCACACACGTCTCCTCCAAGAAATGGCCAACTAACTATCCAATACCAACAGAACACATCAGTATTATAGCAAATATATTTTAGTGGGATACACTGCAACAGAAATAATTGATCCAAACTCCAAAAGGCCAAGACCTTGACATGTAAACAAATGAATTCAAGCTAAGCATTCCTCAGACAATGTGTTTTTTCCCAATAGAATGGAACAGTATTGAAGTCAACACCATAAAGACCTTGACAAATCAGAGATTCAGTGGGAAATAAAACAAAATTCTACTAGCCGGATGGACAATGCATGCTTCTTCAAGTAAAGAAGTATATTATCAGTACTGAAATCTAACTGCCAAAATCAAATACAACAGCATGCTGCAGTTTCCATTAAGTCAAAATAGAAACCTTGTCAAGCAACCGTGATGTCGTTTGGGGAGGTGGACATTTCACGTCATACTTCGCACATGCTTCTATCAAGTAACGATTCGCTTCATCACTTGATAGATCTTTTGGTATATTGAGATTGGCCATAGCCTCCAAATCTTTAATCATATCTATCCTTCTGCAATAAGACAAAAGAAAAAACTGTAAAAGGCACACCTAGGGAAAATATAAGTTACATTGATGCTTTGAAGAGCATCTGTTGACTACCTGAAGGGAGGCGTGAAATCAATTTCTATTGGGGGGTTCGTAACTCCATTTGCATGATATTTTATCTTATAGCCACCTGTCAGCTCCTTAACCATGCCTATTAACCATAAAATAAAAATATATAGGGGTAAATACTCCATTTTTAAATGACGTGATAAAAAAGTTACAATGGTGCAGCATTATTTAGTCAACACATGGTTACCTGACAACATGGTTTCAGTAAGCTCCATCAAATCATTGTAATCGGCATAAGCCATATAAAATTCACAAGTTGTGAATTCAGGATTGTGTGTTAAATCAATTCCTTCATTCCTGAATTGTTTTCCAATTTCATAAACACGGTCCAATCCACCAACAACCAATTCCTTCAGATATAATTCAGGTGCAATACGCATAAAAAGCCTCATGTTTAATTCATTGTGGTGTGTAACAAAAGGCCTCGCAGCTGCTCCACCAGCAATCATGTTCATCATCGGAGTCTCCACCTAGAATACACAAAAGGTCAGATATTGAAGTGTCAACTGGAATCTGGAAAGAAACTGGACAAATCTTGTGCTTACCTCCAAAAATTCACGTTCATCTAGAAATTTCCGGATAAATGAGACAACTTTAGATCGTGTCTTGAAGATATGCCTCACTTCATGGTTTACCATAAGATCAAGATACCTTTGACGATACCGAGTTTCCTGACATCAGAAAACAAACAATTAAAAACCAAAGCATGGTTTCTAGTTATTATCAACATTTGAACACAGGCCAAACTAAAAGTGAGCTATTCATTGTTTGCAATTAACTTGCTAAAGAAACAATAGATGTATTTGGTTTCAGGAATCAACCCATGGTGATCAGTGGGATGACGCCATCCCTCACTTTTGTTAATATAATAATGTGCTAATTGGTGATTGGCCAGCCCATAGAATTCTTATGCCAAAAATAGTGAGTCAGGTTCCAGATCAAGATTGGATGTGTCATACGCATCCCATTTCTCAAAATAAACATCACATAGAGGTACAGGTACGCCACAACACACGCGAGACAGCAAAATTAGAAAAAATGATTTGACCCCTAAGCATGCTAGTATTGTCTGTCTGCACAGTAAGGCCATATTTGTATTGTACTAGGGTGGTCCAGCATCGGGCCAGGATCCCACACCATCCTAGCGCATGGAAACAAAACCATCCTAGCGCATAGAAACAAAGCCTAAGTGAGTAGGCATGTTTTCTATTATTTCAACAGGCTTACTAATCCTTACAAGTGTCCTGATATCACATGCCTTATTCATATTTTTCAGCCAAAATGTGATCACAACAATGGCCAGCCCACATGAACCCAAAAAAGTTGACCGCATTGCATAGTTGTGAGCTACCTGGATTAGATTACAACAGTCCATTCTCCATTATGATCGGAAATGTTCCCTAGTTGTTTGTTACATATTCAGGATGCTAGAGGAAAGCACTTTATTCTTGCAAGAACAAGCTTCAAATGTTTTGGAACCACAGAACGCCAGGAAATAAGACAACACTACTTGCCTGAAGAAGTGGTAAATAACCAGTTTTTATGTTTAAGCAAGAAAAGTAAGACATAATGAAGAATGATGACAAACCTGATCCCTTAAAACATAATTTTCGATGTTCCTACCCATTCCTGGAGTCCATGGTACAGGCACTGCACTTCCTTCACCTTTCTGTAATAAATAAATACTTGATATGTAAAGATTGCAACTGATATTATAGGAAAATGGGCCTTCTTTAATGCCTAAAGTATGCCAAAGCAGTGTTCAGCCCCCACAACATCAGAGGGTTGAAAATAGAAACTAAAAAGATTGCTTGAACACACTAAATATGTAAACATTTCAACTATATCATAGGGCCTTCTTGAAAGCATAAGTTTGCCAAAGCCACAGTCCCCACAATATCCAGAGGGTCCAAAATTGCAACTTATTGGTCAAATTCCTTCTCATGCTGTTAAACAATAAAAAGAGAGACTTTTTTTGAATTATATTTTGATTCTCACCTGTCGAGGCATCATATGAAGACATGGAGAGAGCACGACAAATTTCTTTGGGAATACGCTAAGCTCCCCTCGGTTGCTTTTCCCTGATATTCAACATATTGATTAACTTATCAAACATACAAAAAAATACAATAAAATAGCAAGAAATCTTATGATTTTGTAATTGCTCAGACAAATAGCATGCACCACTATCACTTGTGTAACTGGATTGCATTTTCTTAATGTTCAACAAATTGAAAAATCAAAGTTTATAAAAAATAGCAAGAAAAACATTACAATCATCAAATCATTTAGTGGTCAGGCAAACAATAGAACTGTAGAGTTAACCAGGAACATAAACTACATAACAGTACAGTTTTTTCAAGAAAACATACTACTTGAATTCTGTATTGAATGTCTGTAACCATAACAAAAGGATAACTTACCTAAGTATTAACATTTCCATCGGCTAAATATAAATAGTAATATTTCAACCAAAATAGTTCATAGAAGTCCCTACTTATAGTTAATAGTTCGAAACTTTGAGCTGAACACAACAAACCTGGATAGCCACATATGCCAACAATATCACCTCGCTTCACACCCGAGTGGTACTTAGAGAATTCAGCTTCGTCCAACTCTGAGGTCCTATAAAAAATAAAAAGGTAAAAAATACAGTCCAGTATAAATAATTGATCTCTTAAATCCCACTTTTATGATTAAAAAATATTCATAATTGAGAAAATAGGTTATCAAGTAAATATCTACAAGCAGAACTACTCCCTCCGTTCCAAATTGTAAGACGTTTTAGCTTTTGTAGGTACGTAGTTTTTGCTATGCACTTAGATATACTCTATGTCTAGATACATAGTAAAAGCAATGTATCTAGAAAAGCCAAAATATCTTATAATTTGGAACAGAGGGAGTATTAAGTATGCACTGTCCACTAAAAACCATAACCTTATGTTTGGTCCTGCGATATAAATAAAAGCACAAGGAAAACAAGACCTTTTGGCACAAATGAGATACTTCATACTTCATCGTGTCACCATACGAGGCTCAACTATTCTACAAAATAGGTCACCTTTATCTCTCGAGCTGACAAATATTGTAGATCTATGTGACATTTCCGATAGAAAACCAAAAGGAAACTACCTTTTGCTGACCAAGCAATGAAAAGTTAAACTAGCTAAGCCATATCATATGCCATTAGTATAGTTCAGGGAGTATTTCCATCACAAACTACTACATAAGTAGCCAAGTAGGATCAGTAGTCTAGACTTGCTTTAACTACTGGTGCTTGATCTACCATGAATGTGCAGAGTTAAAGCATGAATTCTACCACCAGGGAGCTCTTTTCTATGAGTTAGTGCAGAACAGGGGATGAGTGAGGCCCTGTTTGTAACAGCTTAAACTTCTGTATAAGCTGCTTTGTTCTAGCTGCGCAGAGAAGCCACTTCCCAGACAAGCTGCTGAGTAAAACGTTATCCTGTTCGGAGGTTCAGATTCTCTTTCAACTTTTTTTTTGTGAGGATCCAGAGATGAACAAGGTTGCCTCCACTCTCCAGTGCTCTCATCGTAGGAGAGCAAATCCATGGCCTGGCCTGGCCGGTCTTCTGTGAAAACACAACTGCTGGTGTGGGCGAGCACAGTGCACGTGCACCCCCCATGATCGGATTTCGTCATGCAGGAACAGGGTTGCGTGCCGCTTAGCCTGGCAGGATCGGTGCGGAGGACAAGGGACGTGTGTGCGGATCTGCCGCCGGCGAGCTCCATGGCCTTCCAGAGCAGGGAGCCGGATGCAGAGGGGTGGTGCAGCCTCAGGTGAAAGATGCAGAGAGCAGCACGGCAAAGGAGTGGCGCGACCGTGGACATGCTTGTGGAAGAGCGGAGGCTTTCTGGCAGAGGAGGGAGGTGAAAGTGGCAAAGCGCCACTGCTGCTTGCTGTGGGGGAGAAGCAAGGAGCAGCATGCATGGAGAAGGGAGGAGCACAGGCATCAGGCAGTCATGCAGGGGAGGCATGGTTTAAAAGCTGATCCCCTGCCACCACTGGAAAAATTGCATGCTAGTTCATTTCCCATAAGCGCTTGCTACTCGAAAAGTTTTGCATTTGGCATCTGTGGCAGCTGAAAAAGAAGCAGAAGCTGGAAAGCCGATGCACCAAAAAGGGCCATGATCTAGTGCATAAAAAAAAATGAACCCCATGCAGTGGTTGATAATCAGCTCAAGCAATAATAGGCTAGTTGCATAGTGAAGAAACATGACAACTGAACACCATACTAGACTTGAAAGTTTTACCTGGCATCAGCCATCACTTGAACCTTCATGCCACCACCGTAAAGATCATAAAAGAATAGCTTAGATGATGATGTCCTCTTGTTCATGATCCTCCCTTTGATAAAAAAAAAATACAAATGAGACCTATATGAATCTCCAAGTTAAGAATACAACCCTAGGAAAACAAAAGGAGTTACCAGCTAAACACTCTGTCACATCTGTAAGCTTCTCCCCATTGCTCAAGGCCTTGTACTTCTCAATGTATTCGGCTACAGAGATGCCAACCAGGAACTTATGGGGATAGGGGTTTACACCTGTGGCCTTGAGCAAATCAAGAGTCTTGAGCCTATTCTCATAGTATTGCTGCAGCAGGAGACACATCCATCCAATAAGAGTAAGAATAAGGAACATAATTTAAAAAGGCAAGACAGGAGAAAGCAAGATGCAACATACAGTGGGATCCATGTCATCCTCGTCAGCAGCAGATGCCTTCTGAGGCTTTCCACTGGCAGCAGCTGCCGCAGCCTATAACAACAGAAGGCACACATCAATTTTGAGCTTTGGCACTAACATTGTAAAAAGTTAACTTCCAACTGCAGCACTACAGTCATCTTCTAGAGCTCACAAAGCTAACAATACTTGGTGGAAGGAATGACATGTTCTGACCAAATAAATCCAGGACTCACTGATTTAGCACACAACAAGAATTGCAATAACAGGAAGAAACAACAACACAAATGTTCCTCACCTTGTTCTTCTTCTCTTCCTCCTTGAGCCTCCGCTCCTCTTCCAGCTTCTTCCTCTTCTCCTCTCTCTTCTTCGCGCTGCACACATCAAACACGGAACAACCAACCCCCGAATCAGGAACAGAAATACCAAGGAAAACCAACGGGCTCAAGGGAGAGGAAGGCTCGGATGTCCCTACTTCTTCGAGAGCTGCAGCTCCTCTCCGCCCTCACCCGCCGGCGGAGGATTCTGCCCGTCGCCGCCCGTTGAGAGCCCCGCGAGCTTCTCCTCCAGACCAGACGCCGAGCCCGCGCCGTCCGCCATGTCGCGCGCGGACCTCTAGGGTTTCGTTGTGACTTGTGCTGAGGCGGGCGGAAGGAGAACGGCGAACAAGATGAGACGCGGTTACGGTTAGAATGTGGAGGCGCAGGTGGTGGTAGGGTTTTAGGGCAGCGCAGCGAGTGGCGGCGCGGAGGAAAGGAAAACCTTCGTAGCCACCAAGTCATCTGATCCCCACGGGCCACGGCATCGACATGGGCCGCCAAGTCATTTGATTCCCACTGCTTTAGTGCTTTCATGGGCCATTTTGGACAACGTGGGTTCAGCCCAACACGGAACACGGCCCTGCTAATGATTTTCTCGGCGGAAGGGGGTAGCCGATAATGGGCAAGGCCAATCGTGTATTCGTGTCAAATTCCAGTGGGCAAGACATGGCGGGGAGAGGAGGCGGCGGCGGCGGCAAGGGCGCGGCGGGGAGGATGATGTCGCTGCAGGAGTTCGTGTCCTCCATGGCCCCGCTCATTGATCTCGAGAAGGTCTTTCTCTTTCTCTCTTCTGTTTCAAGTTTGCGGTTGACTCGGCTGGTGACAGAAATGGATGGTGAGAGCGTCTGGGGTGGGTGCGCAGGCGGCGGAGATAACGGCGGAGTCCGAGACGAGCGCCAAGAGCCTGGAGAGGCGGGGCTGCGTCATTGCCAACCTCAAGTGCACCGATGCCCAGGTTGCTGCTTCGGTTATCTACTTCTGTTGCTGCTTGGTGTGATAGGAATGCTGCAGTTGAGCCTTCAGTACTAAACTTCTAATGACCTTTGACTTGCTTATGCTGCCTGGCGCGTAGAGTAGACGGGACTGATGGGGAAGACGCTCCTGGAGTTCCAGCCCAACAAAGGCGATGTTCTTCCGGCTCACAAGGTGAGCCTGCTGTCTCTCGCCCTCTCTTTTTGTTGCCTGCTGCCGTGGCATTAGGGTTAGGAATTCAGACTGTTATGCAAATGAGCTCTGCGTCACTTGCTGTTGTAGGTCTTGTGATGACTTCCGTTTCAGTCAATCATACATTACACATAATCATGATTTACTGGTTGACAGTGTGATATAGGAAAGACTCACAAGTTCCTTTATATTCACAGGATGTTGATTGAAAACATGCACTGAGACCGATAATGCTAGCTTTACTTTTTCATTCTACTGCAGTTTGGAACGCATGATGTGGTTGCCCTGAAGCCAAATAAGGCAGATGCCGGATCTGCTTCGCTTGGCCAAGGTGTAGTTTATCGCTTAAAGGTACACCCATGTCATCTAATGCTACTGGCAATTTAAGGTTTTGCTCTGTGTGTAGAGGTAGCAATATCAATTTTGTTTCATAACCAACAGGATTCTTCCATTACTGTTGCTTTTGATGATATTCCTGAAGATGGTTTAAATAGCCCTCTGCGTCTTGAGAAGCTTGCAAATGAGGTACTACAACATTTTGCAGCATTCCATGCCTTCTGATAATAGAAGCCTTTTAAGCTCATAATTGCACTTCTTTGTTTGTAATGTCATATTGTCCATGTTTGTTAATTGCTGGTTACATTGACCTACAGTTTGAATATACCTCTTTCATTGTCGATTTTCTCCTTGTGTAGTTTAGATTTTACTGGCTTGCCAGACCACCCAGACATCAAATTATGATAATCCCTGTTCTAGGTCACTTATCGGAGGATGAAGGATGCACTAATTGAACTTAGCAAGGCTGTCCAAACAGGACCTTCTGCAAACCTTGTTCCTGTTTTATTTGGAGAGAAGGCACCCATGCGCTCCAAGGATACTATGAAATTCAGTCCATTCAATAAGAACTTGGATGATTCACAGGTTACCATTTGAAATACTTCCTTTGTTGGTTGCATTCTGCTCTTGATTGTGTGATGCAGCATCATTAAGTTCCATTTATGTTCTGATCCACATGGTATGAGTTAAAGAAAAGCCATATACAAATGAAACTTATCATTTTTCTGGAACAATAGGATTTACTATATTATTTTAAGGATGATTTACCATACAATTTCAGTAAATTGTTTTGTTTTGCAACCCCTCTTTCCTTGTAAATTGTTAATTACAATTGCATGAAGTTGAGTCATGTATGAATTAATAGTTTGATTTTTCAACCTGCAGTGTTGAACTTAAAGTACATAATTATTTTAATTATGGGAACCAGAATTGCAATTCAATTCACCAGGATGTCTGCCACTAATTAAATGCTGCAATGCCAGAAAGGATTTCGTTAGTGTCTGTTGCCTGCCATATTTAAATGACTACTCAAAAGATGATACAGTTGTAGTTGTAGTTGCTTTTATCAGTTTTATCACCATATGGAGAGACGCTGTGACTATATTTGAAAGTATTTCAAGCCGAGGTTAAAACTAAAATACCTAATTCCTTCATGACTGGTGAACGAGTGGTTACACTTGAGTACATTTAAAATTTTATTTATTCCTAAGGTTGTACTATGAAGAAACACATCCATAGATTGTACTATGAAGAAGCACACCCACAGAATGATTCACTGTGTGGCTACCGCCATGTAACCCAGCGAAATACCCAACAGTTTACCCTTTGAATAAGTTTCAGTCTTTCAAAAGAAAGATATAACAGCTGTTGATAGTTTGTTTTATTCATTACAACTGTAGATTTTTATTCAATTGCAAGTATTTCTTGAATTTAAATCAATAATAGAAGTAGCAACTGAAACCAGCCCAGCAGGCATCAGCAACTTGTGGATGTGCCATCACATTTTGCGTTATGACTGCTTCTGTATTTCACCCTCTTACCTCTCAATATTAGACTACTAGTTAGTCGGCCTTGTTTGCATAGCAGTAGAGCCAGCAGTCTACTATCGTAGCACCCTCTTAAATGTTGATGGTTTACCTTGTCATATCTTTAGGTTGTTTCTGTGTCATTTGTAACTTGTGCTTGTTTTGATGTTTCAGTATTTTACAAAGTTTCATAGTAGAGAATTTCTATTAGAAAGTTATTATTGTTTGGAAAAAAATGTGAAAGGGCCTCTTGCTGAGTTGGTTAGGTGGTTTGAGTAGCACTCCTCAAGGCAGGGGTTCGGGGATTTTCTTGACCTGTATGAGAAGGTCTTCTTCTTAATGCAATGCCCGGGGGCTGTCTTACCCCCCGTAGGTTGAGTTTTTTTTATTGTTTGAAAAAATCAGGAGCTGCACAGATACTGTTTTGATCTTTGACCTTGTACACCATATATGTTTTTCAGTTTCTTTTGTATAAATGTCCAAGACACAGCATATTATTTAAATTACAGGGCATAAATTGGATGCTTTTTTACCACTTTATAATAAATGTTGTATACGTCTTCTGTAGAAAGAGGCTATTTCAAAGGCTCTTGGATCAAGGGATGTTTTCTTGCTTCATGGACCTCCTGGAACTGGAAAAACAACAACTATTATTGAGATAATATTGCAGGAGGTCAAGCGTGGATCAAAGATTCTTGCCTGTGCTGCTTCTAATATTGCTGTGGATAATATCGTTGAACGACTTGCACGATACAGGTTTGCTGAAACAAAGTTATGACATATTTTGATCAACAACAACAACAACAACAACAACAACAAAGCCTTTAAGTTCCAAACAAGTTGGGGTAGGCTAGAGTTGAAACTCAGCAGAAGCAATCAAGCTTCAGGCACGTGAATAGCTGTTTTCTAAGCACTCCTATCTAAGGCTAAGTCTTTGGGTATATTCCATCCTTTCAAGTCTCCTTTTATTGCATCTATCCAAGTCAACTTCGGTCTTCATCTGCCTCTCTTCACGTTACTATCCTGGCTTAGGATTCCACTACGCACCGGTGCCTCTGGAGGTCTCCGTTGGACATGTCCAAACCATCTCAACCGGTGTTGGACAAGCTTTTCTTCAATTGGTGCTACCCCTAATCTATCACGTATATCATCGTTCCGAACTCGATCCCTTTTTGTATGACCACAAATCCAACGCAACAAACGCATTTCCACGACACTTATCTATTGAACATGTCGTCTTTTCGTAGGCCAACATTCTGCACCATACAACATAGCAGGTCTAATCGATGTCCTATAAAACTTGCCTTTTAGCTTCTGTGGTACCCTTTTGTCACATAGGACACCAGATGCTTGGCGCCACTTCATCCACCCTGCTTTGATTCTATGGCTAACATCTTCATCAATATCCCCGTCTCTCTGTAGCATTGATCCTAAATATCGAAAGGTATCCTTCCTAGGCACTACTTGACCTTCCAAACTAATATCTTTCTCCTCCCGAGTAGTAGTGCCGAAGTCACATCTCATATACTCAGTTATTTGGACTTCAAAGTCTCCCGCCATAACTCCAGTTTCTGATTCACTCCTGTCCGGCTTTCATCAACTAGCACTACATCGTCCACGAAAAGCATACACCAAGGGATGTCCCCTTGTATGTCCCTTGTGACCTCATCCATCACTAAGGCAAACAGATAAGGGCTCAAAGCTGACCCTTGATGTAGTCCTATCCTAATCGGGAAGTCATCCGTGTCTACATCACTTGTTCGAACACTAGTCACAACATTGTTATACATGTCCTTAATGAGCCTGACGTACTTCGTTGGGACTTTATGTTTGTCCAAAGCCCACCACATAACATTCCTTGGTATTTTATCATAAGCCTTCTCCAAGTCAATAAAAACCATGTGTAGGTCTTTCTTCTTCTCCCTATACCGCTCCATAACTTGTCTTATTAAGAAAATGGCTTCCATAGTTGACCTTCCGGGCATGAAACCAAATTGGTTCATAGAGACCCGCATTATTGCTCTCAAGCGATGCTCGATAACTCTCTCCCATAGCTTCATAGTATGGCTCATCAACTTAATTCCTCGGTAATTAGTACAACTTTGAATATTCACTTTATGAAATATTTTGATCACTGAAAATTTTTTGCTTTAAGATTTCTGTTGGAAAGAAACGACAAGCATATACTGCATTACATGCCTTTTTTTCACCAATTTGGTAAATGTGATATGAGCCTGTTGAATTTCTGCAGGACAAAATTGGTGAGGTTAGGGCACCCTGCTCGTTTACTGCCCCAAGTGCTCGACAGCGCTCTTGATGCACAGGTATTACACTATTTTTTGTGGCTTATCAGTTTGCTTCTATGCTTTGGAAGTTGGAACTAGAATTTCTAGATGCATGAAGTTTGCTATTTACTTCGTAAGTGGCGATTGACTATTTTCTAACTATTGGCTTATCCAACTACATCGTAAAGTGTAATCATCATTTGCCTTTATTGGATATTTTATGAAAATCCAGTTTATGAATCTTGTATTCCCTTTGGTCAGATCAGTTTTTGCCTCACCTTTTGCCTCTGTTATTGCAGTGCGATTATTTCTTTTCCCAACAACAAGGAATGAGTTGGTTTTATATTGTCTTTTCCTTTTGTTATCAACCATATAACTATACATGCATTTTATTTAAATAATTTAAATAACTGTAAACGATATGCAGTTTAAAATTACTGTAAGAATTTTCGTTTGAGTATATGAACAAAAGTCATATGATCTTTGACCTGTGATACCTTCATGTGTTCATATGACTTCTGGGACCAGGTATTACGAGCTGATAATAGTAGCTTGGCAGGAGACATTCGCAAGGAAATGAAGGTAAACACTAAACAGCTATTCATTCACTCCAAACTCTTGCTTTAATTTGCACCATAACTGCTTAGAATCCATGCTGCCAGGCTTTCAAAACTTCAACATGAATATGTTCAAGTATTAATGTTCTGATATGCAAAAACTACATCACCAGATTTATCACAATATATACATTTGTTAAGTTTTACGAATCGAGTGATGTAACTACAAAATGAGATCAGGGGTCATATCAGGGACTGCGAAAAATAAAAAAAACATCAAATAGAAAAGAATGCAGTGTGTACATTATTTGGACACTACCGACAGCTATCAAAGAACAAACTACTGACAAGCCTCTTATAATTTGGACTTCAGTTACTTTATTCTCTGCGGTTAGGTTTTTCTTGACATGTCCTGTCTCTTGTAGGTGCTTAATAGCAAATTGCTGAAGGCTAAAGATAGGAACACTAAACGGGACATCAGGAAAGAGCTCAAAACCCTTGCAAAAGAGGAGAGAAAACGACAGCAGCTTGCAGTCACTGATGTACTGAAAAACGCTGATGTTGTGCTGACAACTTTGACTGGCGCATCTTCGAAAAAGCTAAACGGAATTACATTTGATTTGGTTGTTATTGATGAAGCTGCTCAGGCACTTGAGGTGGCATGCTGGATAGCCTTGTTGAAAGTAAGTATAAGATTGAAGCACAAATCAAAGTTTGTGATGTGTTCTGTAGTGATGTAATTTGAATCTATTGATAGCATCACAAATATTGCCCACTGGGTAAATCTTATGACATTTATGAAGTCAATTTTAACATAAAAGTCATTTTTAACATAAATTCACTTAAAGCATCCTGCTACTGGTAGTTATTTAGTCATGAACTGCTTGATAGGCAATACCATTAGCTAAGTGATTGCCTTTATGTTCAGTATAAATCAGCATGCACAATACTGTGGTTGTAATAATGTAGTACTGTAGTTTCAGTCATTGTCATTATGATTTGGAGCTTCTTAATCTACTTTCTTGGCATCCAGGGGCCAAGATGTATTCTTTCTGGAGACCATCTTCAACTTCCTCCAACAATTCAAAGTGTTGAGGCTGAAAAGAAGGGGATGGGAAAGACACTCTTTGAACGCCTTACCGAAGCTTATGGAGAGGAAATCACATCCATGCTCACTGTCCAGTACAGAATGCACGAGCACATTATGAGCTGGTCGTCTAAAGAACTTTACAATAATAAGGTGTGAATTTACCCTATGTTATTATGCTACCAGTTCCGTCGTGGTTTTGGTTGTTTTTCTGTCATTTTCCTCATCTTATTATTCCCTTGTTTCTTCTCAGATCAAAGCACATTCTAGTGTTGCTGGGCATATGCTCTATGATCTTGAAGAAGTCACTAGATCTTCTTCAACAGAACCAACTATTATACTCATTGACACTACAGGGTGATTGTTATCTGATATTTCTCGCTGTTTCAGAACACTATTGTAATTATATTTGTTGAACTGTTCATACATAGAGATTTCACTATTTTCTTTTTTTCCTTTTTTGCTCTGCATGCCTTGCAAATAGTATTGCTAAATACCTTTACAAAAGAAAATAGGATTACTATTTTCTCTGTAGAAATATACTTTGTATTCGAAGAAAATTAGGATGCTTGTGGGCATCCTTTTGTTGTTGGAAAAGATGCTTTTTCCCTAAGAGATGAACCCTCTGGATGCTTTTCACATAATGTTTCTAACATTTTCATATACTCTTAGGTGTGATATGGAAGAAGTAAAAGACGAAGAGGAGAGCACCATGAACGAGGGCGAGGCAGCAGTATCCATTGCCCATGCCAAGTTGCTTGTTGAGAGTGGCGTTAATGCTTCTGATATTGGAATAATTACTCCTTACTCTGCACAGGTTTTTGGTCCCTTAGTCACCCTATGCATATTCAAGATAATATTCAAGTTAATAGCTAATTTTACCAGTCATCCACTGATGCCTGCAGTACATGATCTTCTGGTTAATAACCATGCTTTGTACTTCTCTGTCCTGTTGTCATGACCTAATATATGTATGCATGTAACACGGCCTTTTGGGGGCATTCTACAGGTGCTTGTTGCTTCATGTCTTTTGTGCTCACACTGTTAAGGTTCAATATATAAGATGCCTATCTACAGTGTATCTTTTTTTCTCATTTACACCATTGTTGGTGGTTGGCAGATTTTACATGGCCGATGGCCTCAGTCTTTTACTTGTTTTATTACATTGTAAACATTTTCTTCCAACTCAGCTTTTAATTCATCTGGCTGTTAATGAATTTATGGTGGCTTCTTGAGGGCTTCACCTAGTTCTGAAGGCCTGAATTATTGAATGGTTTAATATCATAGGTAACCTGCTTGAAGATGATGAGAAACAAAGATGCTAAATTGAAAGATTTAGAGATATCGACAGTTGATGGGTTTCAAGGCCGGGAGAAAGAAGCCATCATCATTTCAATGGTCCGGTCTAACTCAAGGAAAGAGGTAAAATCCCTCCTGAGAACCTCTTAGATGAAAATTTGCTATTTTTATATTGAGCTGTACATATACAGAAATATAGACTCTGATGCATATACAATGTTACATAGTATATCCAGAAAAACAGGATTTAGGTGCACTTGTTTTTATTATTAAAAAATGTAGAAAAATTGGTCCACGGATTATAAGCATTGCTAGCATGGTCCTTTTTTACGCAAGATGTTCTGCAGATTTTTTGTTTGTGATTCTACAGTTCGTAATTTTTGTCATGAGAATGAATGAAATCTACTCCTGAAAAAATGGTAACCTGACTTAACCGAAATGTGATGTTCCTACTTCCTAGTTATGTTTGATTATATAAGGTGGGAAACTTCACCTCATAATAATCCAAACACAATAATGGTTGTCTCCTGGTTTTCTGTAGCAATTGCTGAGTAAACCTTGTGCCTTTGGTTCTTTCAGGTGGGGTTCTTGAGTGATCACAGGCGGATGAACGTGGCGGTGACACGAGCCAGGAGGCAGTGCTGTCTGGTGTGTGACGTGGAGACCGTGAGCAACGACAGGTTCCTGAAACGCTTGGTCGAATACTTCGAGGAGAACGGGGAATACTTGAGTGCTTCAGAATACCAGAGCAGCTGACTCGCGTCAATCAAATTCTAGTGGTTCGTGCAAGTGGATGCTCTTCCAGGTTCCAGCCTTGCATACGAAGTCTGGCGTGATGGCATCTGGCATATCCGTGGAGCAAGTGGATAGGAGATTAGAGTGTTGGAGAGCACACACAACAGTATGAAGCTATGGTTCCTACATATCTTTGCTTTTCTTTTCCTTGTGTACACATAAATAAGGCCTTGTTTAGTTTTCACCTCTAAAGTTTACTCCTTATCACATCGGATATTTGACACATGTTTAGAGTATTAAATATAGACTAAAAAAATAATTAATTACACAGATTGTGACTAATTTGTGAGACGAATTTTTTAAGCCTAATTAGCCTATGATTTGACAATGTTGTGCTGCAGTAACCATGTGCTAATGACGGGTTAGTTAGGTTTAATAAATTCATCTCGTGGATTACTGATGGATCATGTAATTTGTTTTTTTTTATTAGTATCCGAACACTGTATACAACATCTCCATGTAACATTCGATGTGATATTTTTAAATTTTACTCTCTGCATTTAAATACCATCTAAATGATGTTTTGTTCTGCCATTGCCAATGCCATGGGAATGAAAATCTTACAAAAGCAAGAGGGCAGTGGAGAATTTGCTGTGGAATTGTGTACTTTTGCTCTCCTTTACCTTTTGCTGGACCTTTTTTGTCCCGGTGACGCGACTCCTGCTAGTGCTAGGTGGGCTGTGGACTGTGGCGCTGCTTGTGTGGGAATATCCGCCACAATATGCTGATGCAACACAAAGTGTAGTCCCGTGTCTGGTAGGAAAAGGACGAAGGAACACGTGGTGCTCCGCCATCTGTTTATCGTTTTGTCGGTTTACTCTAGGCTCTCCTATTTTTGACGGATGGCGGTGGGCTGCAAGCTCTACAAAGTTCTGTGAACAACTACAACTGAGTTCATAGCACCATCGGACCAACCTTTTCTGTAGAAGAATGTCTTAAAAAGCCCTTACGTGATCAGCTAGAGATCGTTAAAATCTGCAGTCTTTGTAGAACGTGTTAAAAGCTGGAAAAAATAGGGGGTGGATGATGTGATTGTCACAATTTGGGTAAAGATTGTTAAAATTTTGCTTTTCACAGAATTGGTAGAAAAATGTCTTAAGAGGGCCCTATTTGATCGGCTAAAGATCGTTGAAAGCTGCCTTGTAGATCGTGTTAAAAGGGATGAAATACGTGATTGTCATATTTGGGTAGAGATTGTTAAAAAAAACTGCTTTATCATAGGTTGTATGGATAGCTAAATCTTTTAAAAGTCATAGTGCTTGTTCGCTTGGTCGTAAACGATCGTGGATTATAAGCCAGAACATTATTTTTCTTTCACACAAAACCAACCAGCAGTAATAATCCACGATCGTTTCAGCCGAAACGAACATGCTATGAGCTCGTGCTGATTCAAATATGATCTAAAATTATGTATACCTCATTTTTTTTCTCCTCTATAAATTTTCATCCCTTACTCACCCCTAGTCTGTTTCCGTTCACTCTACCGAGCATAAAAGTTATATCGGATTTTACTATTTTACTAGGAATAGTAGTATACAATGAATTAAAGATAAGATTTCTATTTGGTTTGTTGTTTCATCTGTAATATGATCTCACGGCTTGTGCTCAGATGAATTAAGGATGAGTTTGTGAGTGTCTGATTTTGTACTGTGTAATAAAAAAAGTATCATCAACTAATGAGTCATATAATGTCTTCCCTACCACCCGACTAACAATTAATTGTTAGTCAGTTTTTCCAGCTAACATAGTTAATAGTTAACTAGGTGAGAGGATATGTTTAGATCCTTAGTAATAAGTATGCTAACGTCTTAGCTTTACCTACTATCCGGTTAACAATTAGTTATTACTCCCCTTCATTTCAAATTATAAGACGTTTTGGTTTTTCTAGATATATAACTTTTGCTACTGCGGTAAAAGCAATGTATCCAGAAAAATCAATACATCTAGTTTAATACAGAGGAAGTAGTTGAGTCTTTTTTTCAAATAACATAGCTAATAGTTAATTAGATGGATCCTCCTAAGACTATGGGCCTGTTTGGAAACCAAGTTTAGTCCATATTTTGGGTGCCACATTGAAGACCTAAATATTACTAATTATGGTCTAATAACAAAAATTAATAGAGGCTAAACTCTTTTTTTAGCCCGGTGATACAAGCAACCCTATACCGGGTATAGGTTTGTGAAGGAATTGTCTTGTGATACGTCAAGATGGCAACGGGTACAAACCCGTTGGGTTTTGCTAGCCCAAACCCATGCCCATGAACATAAAATCTGCCCGCTAAAAAACCCATGACCCATCACGAGTTTAATTTTGTGCCCAGACCCATGCCCATCGGGTCACGGGTACCCATCGGGTCGCCCATGGGCACATCCACGTAGCAAAAAAAAAACAGAACATGAAAATCATGTCTTGACTGTTACCGTAATTACCAACCGTGTAACAAAAGTATTCAAAAAAACCCATCGAACCAAAAATAGGAAAATAATTTTGAATATTTCTTGACCCTATTGTCAATCCCATATTTATATTTTTATGTGAATTCCCACCAATAGTACCATTTTTAGCTACTGCATTGTTGAACTAGCAACCAGTGCCTTCCCTATTTTATAAGTGTTGCAACTTCTGTCACCCACATGGACATATCATCTTATATATGTGTCTGAATGTAGTAGTTTAGTTGAAAAATTTAGGATATATGGTGGATTGATATGAGTTGCTTTACTACGATGGTTTGGGTTTTAAAAACTCATGGGTTTATGGGTTTTACAGGTTTGGACCCATGCACTACATCGTTTAGTTCAAAAAGACCCATGCCCACAAATTTCGTTTGAGTCTGTAATTAGTGTCTAATTATGGACCATTCAAAAAATCATAGGATTTCTAAAGAAATAGTTTTTTTATCATCTCATTTAGTAGAGTAAAAAGCGCAAAGTCGGTTTTTGCAAATTTTTTGGCAACTGAACGGGGCCTGAATTTTTGACCATCAGAAACTATAGGTAGAGAAATTGACCCATATCCTCTCCGTAGTAGAGTAAAAACCGTTTGTTTTTGGGTTTTGGGTACCGTTGCCATGATACGGCCCAACCGAAGTCCTCACGTCTAGCACAGCACGCCTGCTTTCCACTATACCCAGGAAGGCTGAAGCGAGAGGCCAGAATTGCTGCTGGGTGCTGGCCGTAGCGGGCGAACTCACCAAAATCACGGGCGCGAGAGATCGGAGCACGGCATGTCGGAGGAGCAGTTCCTCGCCGTGGCAGTGGAAGCCGCCAAGAGCGCCGGCGAGGTTCTCCTCCTGCAATCCCTTCCTTTTCTTACCCTTCTTCTGGGCCCGTCTCCTCACTGGTTGCTGATTTCCTGAGCAGGTCATTCGCAAGGGATTTTACCAGACCAAGAACGTCGAGCACAAAGGCCAGGTATTCTCTCCGTTCCCTTGGTACTCATCCATCTGGTGATTTTGGTTCCCCATGTCGGTGTTGATGCATGCACCACACCATTGCGCTGCGTCCCTTCGATTGGATTGGATTGGGATTTGGTACTCACGGTGCTGCGCATTGTTCGCCGGTGGCAGGTGGATTTGGTGACGGAGACGGATAAGGCCTGCGAGGACCTAGTCTTCAACCACCTACGAAAGCACTTCCCGGACCACAAGTTCATCGGGGAGGAGACGTCCGCGGCGCTCGGGGCCACCGCCGACCTCACCGCCGACCCCACCTGGATCGTCGACCCCCTGGACGGGACCACTAATTTCGTCCATGGGTACAATGGCATCCTACCCTGCACTGCACTTTTTTGTTCAAATCTGCCCTCTAATTATGTTTGCTCTTCTCATCCCAAGATTGTGCGGATCTCTTTTTGCAGTTTCCCATTTGTATGCGTCTCGATTGGCCTCACCATTGGGAAAATTCCCACTGTCGGTGTCGTCTTCAACCCCATCATGAACGAGGTATTATAACTGATTCAGCATCCAGCATAATGTTCACATATGTAGCGTTGCAATGAGTGGGAGTAAGCTATATAATCTGTCCCCTAATTCTAACTGTCTGATATATTTTGCCACTGAATTTTGTAAAGATGTTAGTCTAATCTCAAGCTGCTTGTTCCATTTAGCCCATCATGAACGAGGTATTAAATGATTCAGCATCCAGCATAATGTTCACATATGTGGTGTTGCATTGAGTGGAAGAACGCCATATAATCTGTCCCCTAATTCTAACTGTCTGATATATTTTGCCACTGAATTTTGTAAAGATATTAGTCTAATCTCAAGCTGTTTGTTCCGTTTAGCTTTTTACGGCGGTTCGTGGAAAAGGGGCTTTCCTGAATGGCTCTCCAATTAAAGGTATACCCTGATTTAGCGACAATCAATTGAACATGTTGCTCCCTGCACACTTTTCTCCTCAAGCTGCTAATGCTAGTTTGAATATGTGCATCTTTCTTATGCAGCATCATCTCAAGATGAGTTAGTGAAGGCTCTTCTGGTAACAGAGGTAACTGGTGCTCTCAAGAATTAAGTTAAACCATGCAGTTTACACATTGGACAACATATTTCTTGAGTCAAGTTTGTTTCACTAGAGGATGATAGCATACGCAGGAACTCTATTGCTGCTTCTTCCTCTTAAATTTCAATAATCTCATAACAATCTAGTTTGAAAAGAACTGATACCAAATCAGTAGGACCTATCATCTAAATAATTGGGCACGCAACCTGCATTTTGTTTCCTGATTCTTAGTCAGACATCCTTCTAAAAGGTTGAATTAGAGGACTAACTAGCCGGGTGCAAACATGTTACATGGATAAGAAATGCATCATTGAAGAAACTTAATTATTGTATGCTCTTTTATTTCATCACCTGGCATACTTTTTTTTCCATATCTTCACCTGTCATGCTTTATTTTGATACCTGTGACTTGATTTTGGTTTGGAGGGCACTGCTCCCATGTAACTGCATGTAATGCATCTTCTAAACTGTGGATGACAATGTACATCCTAGGACCTCTGGTGTGATCCTTTTATTTCGTCTCCTGCCATTCTTGAATACTTTGATAGCTGTGACTTGATTTTTGGCTTGAATGGCAAATGCTCCTGTGTAACTGCATGTAGTACATCTTCTTGACTGTGGATGGCAATTTACATCTTAGAACCTCTTACTCAAAAGAACCTACTGGAAATACTGAACTGATAATTATACTGATTGATCAGGTTGGAACCAAAAGAGACAAGGCCACTTTGGATGATACAACCAACAGAATCAACAAACTACTATACAAGGTAAATTCTGTAAAGTAACATCAGTTGCCTCGAATATAAATACAGTTTAACGTATCAACATTCTTAACCGCAGTTCCTTTTTTCCAGATTCGATCCATACGGATGTGTGGCTCATTGGCTTTAGACATGTGTGGAGTTGCCTGTGGTAGACTTGATTTGTGTTACGAGATGGGATTTGGTGGCCCCTGGTACGGTTTAACCAAATTAATTACAGTGGTATGAAATAATACCAAGTCCATGTGTTCATCTCAAATTGCTAATTTTCCTCCAGGGATGTTGCTGCTGGAGCTGTGATTCTTCAGGAAGCTGGGGGGCTTGTTTTTGACCCGTAAGTCAGCGAGTTTGTCCAAGCAGCTTTTGCGACCGTAATTTGATTGAGTGTCTCTGACTGCCTGTTCCTCTATTTCTTCTGATTGACTGATTCACAGAAGCGGTGGAGAGTTTGATTTGATGTCGCGAAGAATGGCGGGATCAAACAGCTTGCTGAAGGATAAGTTCGTCGAGGAACTGGGGGACACCAATTGAAACAAATGCTACCATTATTCCTGGAGCAGAATAAGATAATAAGATTGCCTTGCCGCATGGTGATTAACGTATTGTTTCGGCAAATTTTTTCCATGTAATTCTACACAAGGAACACTGTCTTGCACAACTATGTTGGACGCAAAACATTTTATTGAGTTCTGTGATTACATGGGAATACATAGGTTGAAGCAACGGTTCCAACTTTATGGCAATATATCATATGTTTGGATGGAAGTGGTTTAGCCCAATTTCATGTGATGGAAGGAGGGAAAAACTAATTCTGTAGGACAATGTGTCAAATTGCTGTCTATATATGAAATTGTTGATAATACCACTCTCCTTTTATTTAACAATATATGCGTTGCGGTGGCATATTTTAGGCAGTGGAGTTTTTTTTTAGCAATACCACTCTCCTTTTATTTAAGGATAATGCTACAAACAGGACGATGCCAGCGACTCCCTCCGGACGGACACGTGGCATGACGTCAAAGAAAAAAATAGCGGGCTATAGCGGCTGGACATGCTTTTAGTCCCAAGCAAGTTGAGGTAGGCTAGAGTTGAAACCCACCGAGAGCCACAAGTCACGGTTCAATCACTTCAATATCTGCTTTCCAAGCATTCATATTCAAACATAGATCTCTAGGTACATCCCAAGCTTTCAAATACCTTTTTATTGCCTCTCCTATGTCAATTCGGTCTTTCTCTACCTCTTCTCATATTATTAGCTTGGCTTAGAACTCCATAATGCACTGGTGTCTCTGGAGGTCTCCTTTGGACATGGCCAAACCACCTCAACCAATGTTGGACAAGCTTTTCTTCAATTGGTGCTACATCTAGGCGATCACGTATATCATCATTTCGAACTCGATCTATTATTGTGTAACCGCAAATCCATCGTAACATACGTATTTTTACAACACTTAGTTGTTGAACATGTCGAATCTTTGTAGGCCAACATTCTGCTCCATACAATATAGTCGATCTAATCGCTGATCTAATTGTTCTATAGAACTTGTCTTTTAGCTTTTATGGTACCCTCTTGTCACAGATAATGCCAGAAGCTTGTCGTCACTTGATCCACCCTGCTTTGATTCTATGGCTAACGTCTGCATCAATATCTCCATCCCTCTGTAGCATCGATCCCAGATACCGAAAGGTATCCTTCTTAGGTACTACTTGACCTTCCAAACTAACATCTTCCTCCTCTGTACAACTCCGACAAAGTCGTATCTCATGTATTCGGTTTTAGTTCTGCTCAATCTAAAACCTTTAGACTCAAGGGTCTGTCGCCATAACTCTATTTTCCTATTTACTCCCGCCTGACTTTCGTCCACTAAAACTACATCATTAGCGAACAACATATACCAAGGGATATCCCCTTGTATGTTCCTGGTAACCTCATCCATTACCAAGGCAAAGAGATACGGGCTTAAGGTTGACCCTTGATAAAGTCCAATTTTAATCGAGAAGTAATTTGTATTACCATCGTTTGTTCGAACACTAGTCACAACATTGTTGTACATGTCCTTGATGAGGGTCACATACTTTGATGGGACTTTATGTTTGTCCAAAGACCACCACATAACATTTATTGGTATCTTGTTATAAGCCTTCTCCAAGTCAATGAAAACCAAGTGGAAGTCCTTCTTCTGCTCTCTAAATCGCTCCATAACATGTCTTATTAAGAAAATTGCTTCTGTGATTGACCTTCCGAGCATGAAACCAAATTGGTTTGTTGATATCTGCATCGTTCCTCGCAGGCGCTGCTCGATGACTCTCTCTCATAACTTCATAGTGTGGCTCATCAACTTAATTCCCCGATAATTAGTATAACTTTAGATCTCCCTTGTTCTTGTAGATTGGTACTAATATACTTCTTCTTCACTCCTCAGGCATCTTGTTCGATTGAAAATATTATTGAACATCTTGGTTAGCCATACTATAGCTATATCCCCGAGACATCTCCACACCTTGATTGGGATACCATCAGGGTCCATCGCTTTGCCCCCTTTCATCCTTTTCAAGGCTTCTCTGACCTCCGATTCTTGAATCATCCGCATAAAGCGCCTGTTAGTGTCATCAAACGAGTCGTACAGCTAAACGGTGGTGTTCTCGTTCTCACCATTGAATAATTTATCAAAATACTCTTGCCATCTATGTCTGATCTCATCCTTCTTCACCAAGAGCCGCTCCCTCTCATCCTTTATGCACTTGACTTGGTTGAAGTCTCTTATTTTCCTATCGTGAGCCCTAGCTATCCTATAAATGTCCTTCTCTCTTTCCTTCAAACTCAAACATCGGTAAAGGTCCTCATTGGCCTGCCCCTTTGCCTCACTCATCGCTCGTTTTGTAGTCTTCTTTGTCACCTTGTACTTCTCTATGTTGTTTGCACACCTGTCATGATACAAGCGCTTATAACACTCCTTTTTCCTTAATAGCCTTTTGCACATCTTCATTCCACCACCAAGTGTCTTTCAAGTCGCATCCGCTCCCTTTGGTCACTCCAAGCACCTCTAAAGCAACCTTTCGAACGCATATTGCCATCTTCTCCCATATGTTGTTTGCATCGCCTTCATCATTCCAAGGGCCCTCTTCAATGATCTTTTCCTTAAAGATCTTTAATGCCCCCTTTCTAATTTTCACCACTTCATTCTAGCAACCCTAGCTTGTTTGTTCCCACGAGCTTACACTAGAAAGCGGAAGTCAGCCACCACCAGCTTATGTTGAGCGACCACACATTCTCCAGGTATCACCTTACAGTCCACGCATGTTCGTTTATCCCTCCTTGTAAGGACAAAGTCGATTTGACTAGAGTACTGGCCGCTACTAAAGGTCACTAAATGGGACTGTCTCTTACGGAAGAAAGTGTTAGCTATCATTAGATCAAAAGTTATGACAAAGTCTAACACTTCCTCTCCCTCTTGGTTTCTACTACCATATTCGAAACCCCCATGAACCGCCTCGAAACCTGCACTTGATGTACCTACATAGCCATTAAGATCACATCCTATAAAGAGCTTCTCGCTACTAGGGACAGCTCTAACCAAGCGATCTAAGTCTTCCCAGAAAAGCCGCTTAGCACTCTCATCATGGCCTACTTGGGGGCATACGCACTAATTACGTTTAAGACCATATCACTAATGACAAGTTTAACTAAGATGATCCTATCCCCTTGCCTTCTCACCTCCACCACACCATCCTTGAGACTCTTATCAATCAAAACTCCTACTCCATTTTTATTTGAAGTTGTCCCTGTGTACCAGAGCTTGAAGCCAGTATTATCCACCTCCTTCGCCTTCTGTCCCTTCCATTTAGTCTCTTGGACGCATAAGATATTTACACGCCTCCTAACCGCTGTGTCCACTAACTCTCTTAACTTACTTGTAAGGGACCCTACATTCTAGCTACCTAAACGGATCCTAGTTGACTCAACTAGCTTCCTTACCCTTCGCACCCGTCGAGATAGGTGTGAAGACCCTTGCTCATTTTGCACCACACTCGGGCGCCGATGTGGCGCGCCACTAAGGATACGACGACCCGATCCTTGCTCACTTGACACCGTGTCCACATCGCGACACGGCGCGTCACGGGGGTGACGATCCGGCCCTTGCTCATTTAACACCATACCCGGGTTCCGACATGGCGCGTCGCTAAGGGGGTTACGCCCCAACGGGACTCTTTTGGGTTTCATCTCCATTAAAGTGGCTAAGTTTTTACATTGGCTCGCCGCGCCTAACATAACTCTCCTCCTTTACTAGGGCTTAGGACCTGCTATGCTGGGACACCAAAGGTGCCCCACCATAGGCGGAGTTAAGCTATTCATATTTTTGTCGTTATGACAACTTTCACCGCTATTATGTGCTATAGCACGGCTAAGTTGCATAGCTTAGCGTTTTAAATAGCGGCGCTACTCCAGCAGGGCCATATGAGTGAAATTTTGGTAGCCTGCTAAGCCCACTGACAGGATGAGCGACCTCGTGTATGTAAAATTTAACTCCAGACTGAAGCATAAAAGAAATAATAAGGCAAAAGACCCAATTGAGAAGCAAGTTGTGGATATTCTAGAAGATGATGACAATGAATTTATCACTGGAGATGCCCTTGTAGCAGATGATGAACAAGAAGAACCAAAAGACCCCCAAGCTAAAGGTGAGAAAGTTCAGGAACAAGAGGTCGCACCAGCAGAACCAGAACATGGTAAAAGGAAGAGAGTTCCTTGCCCTAGGATTAAGAAGAGGATGAAGAAGATTACAGACATTAATGATGGCAAACAATATGTGCCTGAGATTGTAGCTGCTTCATCTTGTGATATAGAAAATGATGATGATCATGATGCCAACGTGCATCGCTAGTCTGCAAGTGACAAATCTTCTCAGTCTAACTCTCAGAACTCCATCTCAGACTAGATTATCAGTTATCATTTCCTACTAATTTGGTATTTTGGACAATTAAGCTTTCATGAACCATGTTGTAATGTCACATTGGTATTTAGTAATGTTACTTAGACTGATGGAAACATATTTGTGTTCATCGAAATTCAAATTTGCCATGTTTTTTTCATCAATTACTGGTGTTTTTCATGTATTTTCTATAAAAACGCTATCTGTCATAGCGCCGCTATAGCTACATAGTTGCTGAAAAAAAGTTGCCGCTATTTTAAACTTTATGTGACGTGCACCACAACTTTGACTCCCTTCCCGTCTCTTTTATTCTCATTCGGACACCGCTCGCTCACTTCGCTCGGCCTTCTCCCACCGCGCCCTGACCCTGCGCCGCTTGGTCGCTCCTCGCTCCCACTCCGTCACGCGCCCCACCTGGGCCGCTCGCTCCTCTCCCCCGCCCATCGCGTGCCCCACCCGCCCATCGCGTGCCCCACCCGCCCCTCGTTTTGGCCATGCGCCGTGCCGCCCACTCCCTCTCGTAGCACGCTGTGAGCGCATGAGCCGAGCCAAGGTCGGTCTTTGGTGGTGGTGCTTGCTTGCCTTCACCGGTGTTAGGTGGTGTCTTTGAGTGGTGATCGTCTTGCCGCTGCCGCTTCACGCACTTCGACCGACACTGAATCGAATCGCCCAGCCTAGGCTTCCACTCCCCTATATTGCAAATATATGTTTCAGGGGTTTCAGTCATTTCAAAGGTATGTTGCAGTTGTTTCTTATGGATGTTGCAAAAGTATATCGAGGATGTCTCACATGTTGCATATGTTGCAAGTGTTTCAGAGGCATGTTGCAAATGTTTGTTCAAAATGTTTCATCTGTTCTAGACGTATGTTGCAAGCGTTTTGATCTGGATGTTTGCATATGTTGCAACAACATGTTCCATATGTTTCATCTGTTTTAGACGTATGTTGCAAGTGTATGTTCCGAATGTTTTATCTGTTTCAGTCGTATGTTGCAATTATTTTATTTAAGTGTTGCAAAAGTAGATCTCAATATAGGGTTGTTTAGCGAGGAAGAGAGAGCTAGTGTGGAAGCCATGGCGACATCGGTTGTAAGTTGGCGGCAGCGCTCCACCAGCGTCCGCGCTGTCCCGCATGACATGCTGCCTCCGCTAGCCCCACCGTAGGTCCTGGAGCAGAAGCTTGTGGCATCTCCAAGCGGCGGAGATGCAGACCCTGACTATGGAGGTTACGCGGGCGCGACGAGGTTGAGACCCCTTGCGGGCACGACGAGCAGGCGGGCTCCCCTGTTACGTGGGTGCGACGGACGCTCTGTTACGCGTGGGACGAGACAAGGTGCAGCGGAGCTACGTTGAGACGCGGGCTTGGGGCCGGGCGTCTGGGCGCTAGTTATTCCTTTTATTTATCTTGAAGACCTCTAAGAGTTGTGGGACTCAAAAACCAAACATGTCGACCTATGTTAGCATGGATAGCACTACGAGCGATGTTATGAGCATCGATATTGGACTCCCTCGTCTCATGCACAAACTCAACGCTTCTGAGGGCTGTCTTTCTCATGCTGATCTCCTGAAAGATTTTCCCATAAACTCCAAGGCTGCTTTGTAGAATATTCTTCGTAAACTCCAAGGCTGCCTTGTGGAATATTCTTCACGAAGGCAGTGGAGTGTTTGTTCGCTTTGAGCGCGTGTTTAGTTGGGACCCCAAATTCTAAAAAAGTGCTACAGTATTTATCACATCGAATCTTACGATACGTGCATGGTGCATTAAATGTAGATAAAAAAAACTAATTGCACAGTTTGGTTGAAAATTACGAGACGAACGTTTTGAGCCTAATTAGTCCATAATTAAACACTAATTATCAAATAAAAACAAAAGTGCTATGATAGCCCAAATTTCCAAATTCACTCAACTAAACACACCTTAAGTTTGGCACCGTAGCAATGGGCTGAAGTTATCTTGATGCGCCACTACACCTAAAATTCAATATTCGCAGACGATTTGGCAGTGGAGAGCCGCCATTGGGCCATTGGGGCAGCAATGTGCCAGACACCCTGTTCGTTCGATCCTATCAGCCAGTCATGACACATTGTTTTTTCTTTCGCAACGAAAGAGCGTCAGCCGCGCTATGTCTGTCGCTGCCTGCTGTCTGGACTTTGGAGCCTGAACTCCTGGACTGAGGTATCCAGGCTAGGACACTCACCATTTCACCACCCATACATGTCCATGGAAACGGCGGCGGCGAGCTCGGTTGGGGCCGAATTCGGACCCCAGCTCCGTCCCGCTCTCGGGTTCAGGCACAGCCAGCGCCGCGCCCTTCCTTGTTGTTGGCGCCGCGTCCGCGTCCGCCCCTGCCGGCCTCGCTTAGCCTCTGCGGCGGCGGGGGAGCCCGTCCCCGCGGCGCCATCGCCGCCGCGACCGGCGACCAGCGGCGCCGGCAGCTGGGAGAGCTCGAGGCGGAGGCGGAAGCCGGCTCGGCCTTGGGTCCTCCGAGGAGCAGCCCCCGCGAGGTGACCCGTTGCTATCCCCGGCCCGGCCCGTCGCTCGTCGTCGTTCCTGCCAGTCCCAGCTCCGTGGCCTCACTCTTGGGCTCCTGGTTTGCCTGTGCAGGTGAGGGAGGAGATGGCGCGGTGCTTCGACCTCGTCCGCCGCCTTGGCAGGGGCGCCGTCTACCTCGGCTCCTCCAGGGTCCCGCCCACGCACCCGCACTTCCTCCAAACCACCGAGCTCGCCAGAGAGGCAAGCACTACTACTATTAGCAATCTACTAGCATTCACAACATGTTGCTAGTTGCAGCAGGCATATTCTTGGCCTAACTAACATACAGTCTGTTCGCTTGATGGTTTCAGCCAGGGCTTATCACCCAGCCAACATTGTTTTTCTCTCACAACAAACCAGCACTATCAGCCCAGAAATCAACCAGCGAAAAGGCTCATAGTTCCTTGAAGAGTTAGACTGTTAGAGAAAAGGCTCATAGTTCCTTGAAGAGTTAGACTGTTAGAGAATGCCGTAAACGATTTATTCAGACATGAGCCATTGCATCGAATTCGACTGCAAGTAGCTGTAGAGTGTAGTGTAGACATGAGAGCCATTGGCAGATCTTTATGCATTTGGTCAGCTACCTGTCTTTGCATCAACAGATAGCTCGGCTGCTCGACTGCACCACATGGACCGGAGCTGGCCCTGGGCTCATGGATGCTGCCATCAAAGGTGCCCTTGAGGCAGATAAGCCGGTTGGCGGCTTGAAGATTGCAAAGGAGGCAGGTGAATGGACAAGCTCGGGCTTCCATCCTTACCTGCCACCAGAGACCTACCTCACATGCAGGTACCTGAATTTTCCTGAGGATGCAAAAATAAGATTCACCTAGTGGATGCACAACTTATGAGACATGGCGATCACTATGCGCTAAGCTGAATTTCAGGTTCTTCTCAGCGAGGAAGCATGGGCTAGTCGATGCTGCGGTGCGGAGCAGCCCTACTGACAGAACGGCTGTGGTTGCACTGCCAGGAGGGGTCGGGACACTGGACGAGTTGTTTGAGATCATGGCGCTGATTCAACTGGAGAGGATCGGGTCAGCACTCCCGGTCCCGTTCTTGCTTCTCAACTACGATTCTTATTACTCCAAGCTGCTGGACTTTCTGAATGACTGCCAGGAGTGGGGCACGGTTGCTCTGGGGAAGTGGCGTCACTTTGGAAGGTTTGTGATGGGAATCATGAAGCTTTGGAGTACCTTGCAGAGTTCTACAATGTTCCTGCTGCCCAAAGAAGTTACCAAATATCGCCACAGGTGAAGCAGCACCGAACTTCCAATGCAGCAAGCTGATGAGTGATGACGGAAGGTGGAAGCTTTTTGCTAGATTTATATTTGTTTCTTTGGTCCTTTTCATCCTCATTTGGGCAGAACACATTGTCATTTAGCAAGTTCTTCGAGTGGATCACATCAAACAAAACAACCTTTTAACCCTTGGAAGCAATGTTCTGAGAACAGTCGCTGTACATCTGAATTTTAGGTTTTGATTGACAACGGTGGTGATGAGTACAAGAGTTATGTTCAAGCTAAAATGAGATGAGATTACTGTATTTGTTTGACCATTGCAGCAATATTTGCAATACAAGTTTAATCAAGAGTTCAAGACCCACAATAAAACAGAAAAAACAGAAATATTTGCAATACAAGTTTAATCAGAGGCTCAAGACATATCTGCAAACTCAGACAAATACATTTTAATACAGCTTACTACAGTATAAACGGAAATTTTGCCCAGACAGATGGCAGATGAATCAGTTACATGCTCTTGTCCATATTATAATTAAACGTCACGTAGAAAGAAAAGAAAAAGGTCCAAGAAATCCCCATTTCCCAATTGTCAACCAGGCTCAGTTGACGAGTCTCAACTCCCAAGCAATCAAATCAGGTCCAGTCACTCGTAGGCAGATGCAAAGGCATAACTCCATTCACTCGTAGGCAGATGCAAAGGCCGCCCGCCAAGACTGATCGTCATCGTGCGTCAATGGAGCATCGCACGAGTACTCCGGCGTCCTCTCGTTCTCGTGGTGGTAGAAGGCACCCAAAGCCGACTCGGGCAGCCGGCTCTCCGCAAGGTGCACCTTCATCGTCTCCAGCTCCATCTCGTGCTTCTTCCTCAGCTTCTCCAGCTGCTTCTTCAGCTTCTCGTTCTCTTGCAACAACGCGGCAGTCCTCTCCTGCAAAACAGCGGAAGCACACAATTCAGTTGTCTTTCATCTTGTACGATAACTAGACAAGAACACCAATGACTAGTTTGAAGTTTGAACTGACCTTTTCTAGTGTAGATGCTTCCTCAGCTTCTCTCAATCTGACGAGCAGTTCTCCAGCAGCATGAACAGCTTCAGCAGTGTCTCGTAGCTGAATGCGGAGCCTTCTGTTCTGTTCTTTCAGCTGAGCCCTCTCCTTTTCTCGGTCGATTCTCACCGTGGAAAGCTCTGCGGCAAGGGCAGCAGCAAAGGCCGTCCCACAGCCCTTCCTGCCTGCTTTGGCAGCCGCCCTCTTCACCTCAGAGATCGCTTCCATCACTCGGCGGTGCTTCTCGAGAAGATCATTATACAGCTCCTGGAGCTCAACATAATGCTCAACCATCCTAGCGTGGCCGTACATCGCTCGTTGAAGAGCGTCATCCAGCTCTGCCGTGCACTTCTTCTCATTGCAGAGCTCCATCTCGGTCTTCTCTGCATGCATCCTGTTTGATTCTAGATCGACCCTCAGCTCTTCAGTGAGTGAGATCCACTTGCTCTCAGACTCCATCCATTTCTGCCTTTCTTTGTCAAGTTCATACTCCTGGTCTGTGCTGCCGTTCCTTAACTGATCAAGAAGGCTATCAGTTGTTGATACAGTAGTCTGGTTTTTGAGTTGCTCCTTCAGACTCTCGATTTCAGCAAGAAGTGCCTCCCTCTCACTCACGTTGAGTGACACCTTACTATCATGACATTGTTCAGAAACCTTGCCTTCACTAGTCAGTTCTGCAGGTGCCATACCATTTGAATCTGGGCCATCTTCTGACCTGTTCTTATATTGGTCAATCTGCAACACAACAGATGAAAATGTAAATGAAACGGAAATAACTGTCTGAAGTATATTTGATTCATCTCTGTACATACCAAAGTGCTCAGCTCCTTGATCTTTGCTGCTTGTTCTTCACATAAAGCTTCAAGCTCAGTTTCTCTCTTGGAAGCAATTTCCTTGGTTATGTTGCCATCCTGGTCAATTTAAATGGTTAAGTAGATGATACGAATCAAATAAAAATAGTCCAATCATATAGCTTGAAAGACAAACCTTAATTGAAGCGCTAGCTGATTCATTAGATGTGGCACCCAAGGCTAACACAATCTGTTTGTCTGAGTTTACATTTTCTGTCTGATTTTCATTTGTGTTCATTGGCTTCTTGCAGGATGAACAAAGATTGCTTCCTTGGTCCTCAGGTAGAGCCTGAGCAACTGAACTGAACTTTGCTGTTGACTGACGAGGATTCACCGCAAAATGGTCAAATGAAAGGCCAATAAATGATTTTCGTGGGGCTGGATCCTGTTGATGATACTCTATAATGTGCAAGCCACGTTGGAGACTTGCAGCCAGTGAGTCAGTGGGGCTAAGCTTGCTTGATTGTAGAGAGGACCGAACTGCACTATTTCTACGCACTTCGACATTTCTATCAGCTGGGCTGTCAGATACTCTAAGCTTGCTTGGTGATAGCCCCGGTGAAGTGATGCTCTTTCTTGCCTTGTTGTGGATCTTTGGAGAAGAGCACAATGTAGGATCCTGAATAGGTGACAACCGTGGGGAGGCACTAATTGATAGACTAGATTTTCTGTCAGAACCGAGGTCTTCAATAGCATTTGTGTTGTTAGATACTTCTTTGTGCTCTTCCTGTTGTGGACCTTCAAAATCATCTATGATAACTTGATCATCTTCTCCACTTCTTCCCATAGAACAAGGAGTGTTTTCATCTCCACTCTCCGCATCCATGAAGTCATCAAAGGTATCTTCAGATGAAGAGTGAAGCTTGCTAATTTGATCACGCAGTTCTTGCACATCTTTTTCATCAACATCCATTTCTTCCTCTGAATCAACTTCTATGTGAGGCAAGATAAGAGAGCGGTTGAGGCTCACTCGCAAAGTATGCAAGCTTTCACGGGCACTTTGTGCACTGAAGTATCCAGCCTTGCAAGTTGTGGTGTCTCCAGACTTTGTTCTTATGAGTTCATCCTGCAAGAAATTAAATAATTAGCAAGTCTGTGTAGATTGTAGGTAATTCTACATGCTTATGAGTTCTGAGGTAATACCTTTAACTGACGTATCTGATCGCTCAAACCATTAACATCATCTTCTGATATCTCATTTATCACAGGTTTGTTTGGCATTAGCTTTGCTCGCTCACCAAATCTTAGTGTACTTAAGGTTCCAGATCTGCATCTGCAGTTCCCAATGTACTGATCAACACAAGAATATGTAATAAAAGGCATAAAAGGAACACAAGAACAGAAAATACCTGTGCTCTGAAGAAATTGAACACAAAAATATAACCCTGGAGTTGCCACCTAGTGTATCCTTCAGCACATGTGTCAAACGGGATTGCTCATATGGTAAATCAACTTTATGGGACTCTGGAGTTTCTGAAAGAACGTTGACTAGTTTCCTGAAATGACAGCATGCACTTGTGAGGCTTTGGATTTTCTAAATATTTTGTTCACAGAGGAGTATCTCAATCATACATTTTTTTTCCTTAAAAAAAGGGCAATTTGGCATATTGCATTCAGAGGCCCATAGGACATCAAGACAGGGAAACTAATCTAGGTGCACCAAGAAAAATAAAGGAAATGATGAACAGCGGTCTTGGTATAACTGAATCAAGTTGATAGCGAAAAAATATCAAAGAAGCAATTACAGATTTACATACCCAAGCCTTGAAAGAGACTTCTTAAGATGTCTTTCCTCCTTTGTGGAATGCTTTGCTGCACCATCAAGTTCATCAATGTCAGGACCAGCAAGGTCAACAAAGGTAATTCTGCTAGTTCTTGAACTGCTAAACCCATTTGATGAACCCTGTGAAGAGAGCAAATCCAAAAGATAAATCATCAGATGTACATCCTATAAACATCTGATATATTTATTATTTCAAGACAGAATATGAAGGTGAAATCCTGAGATTTAGAAAGGCTGACAGTTATTACAATATGCAACAAAGAACCTAGAGCCAGCCAAAAAAAAAAGAGCATGTACCTTGCTCCATGCTTCAATAATGCAGGTGAATATCACATGAGAGCGGGAACTTTTCAAGTTCATACTGGTGGTACCAACTTTTCTGTTTGACAGTCCCTGTAAAGAAAAATAAACTCGGTTATCATGAGAACACTAATCCAAAGAACTATCCTACTAATCAAGAGAAGCATCCTTACAAAACAGACTAATCAACAATAGCCACAATAACACTACGACTATGGTAAACAAAACACTGATGCATAGCTGCTGCTGTAGTTACAGAAATTTTAGAGATACGCATGCATTAAATACGAATCAAGCGAGTCTTGATATCAAAGCAAGCTTTTATATTCCGGATGGTGTTGCATGCTGATTACACCAACGTGATATCTTGGTTTCATTCCACAACAGTATAGAGATGATCAGATGAAAAGATTACAGTTCGAAAATAATAGAAGAGAGGCTAAATGACAAACTTTTGTGTTACTCTTATTGGTGAAATTTGTTCCTATAAGAACATAATCATAACTTGAAATCGTAATATTGGATTTATTCTATTCTCCAACTATAACCTTGACGGAAGCATAAAAATGTTTATCTAGAACACATGATGAGCGATCAAAAGCCTGCTCCAGATAAATATATAACTTTAGAAAAATTAATCAACCACTCCAATAATTTAGAAAGTTCGTTAATCTTTTCTATGTTGCCAACTTGCAAATTCAGTAGCAAAAATTGCCAGATAAACTTGCAAATTCACTGTTCATGCCTGACCAGAGCATCCACTGTCCAGGAACATAGAGAGAACAAGATGAATTGGAAGTTATCTTATACCTTCATCAAGATCTGATTGATATCCTCTACTGTTGACACGTACTCATCAGTCAAGTTCTCAACATGGATACCATTGCCAGCATTCTCTTTTATCTAAAAAAAGAGTGAAGTTGGATGTGATATCTGCATAAACCAATAGTAACTGCAATTTCAGGATAATTTTCTTGTCGAATAATGTACCTGCAGGTCACGCTGAGATGGTTCCAACAGATCATTGATCTGCTCGTTATGTACCTGCAACAAGTTGGAAAAGCAAATCATATGTCATTTCTGATTTCGGCTCTAGAAACCATTTCCAAGACACGGTTCAGTTGAAAACAACCAAATAACTGCACACCTCGAGGAACGAGCAACGGCATTGGTAGCTCGTCTGCTTCTCAGGAGAACTCTCTCGCATCTACACAGGGAAGGAGCAACGTCAAGTCAACAAGATCACTCACAATTTATTTACCAAAAACTAAAGGACAGGTGAAGAACCTCCTTACTCTTTGGATTCGAGAGAACAGGTTCTGGAAAACCCGAGGAACGACGCCCCGGTCAGCATGGTCAGAGCCACTGTCAACCATGGCGCCGAGAGGGCCCCACATGGTGTACGTCTTCCCGGTGCCACTCTAGTAGCATCGGACACATACAAGCATCAGCAACAGGAACCGAGGAGCAGAGAACACGAGACGGAGTGCTTGGATTAGTAGTAGTACCTGGCCATAGCAGACGAGGGATGTATTGAATCCGGCCAGGGCGTTCTCGATCATGGGCAATCCCACCAGATCGAACGCATCGGCCTGCAAACAATCACCAATTCGCAGAATTCGTTCAGAGTCGCGCACGATTGGGCATGCTACTCGGTGTAAATGGGGTTTAAGCTTGCTTGTATACCTGAGAGGCCCTGTCTTCGAGGACGCCATCCACTGGGAAGGACCGGTCGCCGACAGCGACCGAGTCTGGGGCGGTCTTGCGGACGAACCACAGATCCTTGCCGTCCACCGGGCGGCTCACCGTCGGCCGCACCCTCACCACCACCTGCGCGCATCCCCACACATCAAGAACAAGCTCGCAACCCTCCTCAGATCCCAAATTACCCTGGTAGGAAGCCGGATCGGGTGAATCCATGCATGGCACAGTACCTTGACGGAGGGCGCGGTGGTAGCGGCCGTGGAGTGATCCTCCCCGTTGGTGGCCGCCGGCGGAGCCGCAGCCGCAGCCGCTGGCTGCTTGGGGCGTGGTGAGGAGGCGCCCTTGGCGGGCGACGCCGGCGGCGAGGAGGCGAGGTTGGGGTGGAGGTTCTCCTGGTCGGCGGCGCGCGGGGATGCGGCGCCGGCGAAGGCGGAGAGAACGAGCGCGACGCCTGCCGCTTCAGGTTTCGCCGCAGCATCTCCATGGCCTCCTACTGCTGCTGTGTATTACTCCGGCGAGACGCCGATCGGCTAGCAGAATCAAGGGAATCGAGAGCGGGGAGGAGAGGGGAAGGGAGGAGGAGACGAGGAGGGACGCTTCTCGCAATCTCGCTTGCTTTGAAAAGATGAGAGATGCGGGGCGGATGCGCGTGACTGTCCCGTCCGTTGGAATTTAATTCGAAAACTTTTGAAACGGGGGAGGCGGCGGGGGTGGAAAACGATAGCCTAGCGGTCGGCTCGATCCGACCGGCTGATTCGTGATGGACGGTCGGGCGCTGGGCCACATGGGCTCGTGGGAGGTCTCGTACGCTGCCCCGTGGGGTTACCGGACCGCAACTAGCCGTTGGGGAGCGGTGTCCGTGCTAAAGGCCAGAACCCTGCGTCGGATGCGTCGTGGAAAGCTGGCGGGCCAGATCATCTGTGGATGAATTACCTAGGCAGCTAGGCTCGATCATTGTCAAAGATTTCCCGGACTCAAGCAAGCTTGACTGCCTGAATATACACAGGCTCAAGCATTCTTGAAAAATTCAGAAACTAAAGAAATATAATCAACGGAACAACTTCTATAAAAGATCAGCTCTAAAACATAAAACCACATGGGACAAGTTTAGACTACGAAGGTAAGCCAATCAGTGATTTTTTTTTTCTAAAGTTGACTTACGTAGTGGATATCACCAAAGTCGGCTTGTATGAATGGTTTCTGGTTTGACTAATGCATCTAAATACTTTCACACGATTAATGGACAAGATTTTACATTATTTTATTGAAAAAATTGTGGTGGTTTTTATTTTGATGATGTTTTGATATACAACCGGTCTTTATCTGAACATCTTAACCATTTAAATGTTGTTTTTGAGGTTTTTACGTGCTACATGTTTATTTAGTAACCTCGAGATGTGCACGTTTTGCATCGAACAAGTATCCTTTTTGGACTATCGTGACTCCGTAGGAGATTGAGGTAGATAAAGTCAAGGTGCACGTTATTTAGAGTTGGCGAATGCCCTTGCGTACTCATATCTTACACAGGGGTATGAACATTGACACACGTTGTCCAGTCTGCTGGCGTTTTGATGAAGATGGAGGGCATTGCTTTCTAAAATGCAAAATGGTGAAGAAATGTTGGAGAGCAATGTCCATAGAACATATCTGAGTTGAGCTTTTAGAGTTGACCCCAACAAAGAGTATGGTGTTGAATATTCTATCTCTAGAGCAAGAAACAAGGGCAAAAGTGACAAACCTCCTTTGGGCATGGTGGGATGCACGCAATAAAGCAAATGTTGGAGAACAAGTGGAGTCGATAGAGGAGGTTGTATATAGAGCTATGTCCATGAATCTAGTTTGCTCTATGCAATGGCGAGACAAAAATAGATAAACCTATGAAACAAAGCGTACGATGGTGTCCGCCTAAATTAGAGTTTGTGAAATTAATCTTGATGGTGCTTTTCTCCAAGGGAGAAAGAGTGGAGCATGGGGTTTTGTAGTGAGGGACCATGAAGGTTCAGTGGTGCTGGCATGCCCATGAAAATTGTATAAAGTACATGATGCTCTATGTACAGAAGCCCATGCTTGTTTAAAGCAATCACCGTGACAACAGATCAAGGTATGATGCAAATTTAACTGGAATCAGACTCCCTAGTTTTGGTGAAGGCTCTCAGATCTTCTAAACATGATCATTCAGCTGGAGGCTCTCTGTTCAGAGAGTCTAAATTTCTTTTAGATACATAGTTTGATTCTTTTGAGTTGTGTTATGTTCCACATTCTTGTAACAATTGTGCACATGAGTTAGCTTGCACGTGTTTGTCTTAGGATCCGGATCTATCCTTTTTATGGATAGATCCCCTCCTAGAGTTTGTAAATACTTTAGTGATCTGTGATTTCCATGAATCTAGTGTGACGTAATAAAGCTATGAGTCATTGATTTAAAAAAAAGAATGCCCACAATGGTCTCATAAGTGCAAAATTTTCATGGACTTACTGGATTTTATCATTGATTTGTGAAAGGTTTCAACATCATCTGTCTGCACATTCGTGCTACCATGTGTGTGCCTTGCCGAGGAACCTCGCACACCCACGGTGGTGTAGCAAGCATGTCTGTCGGTGTTTTGTAAACCAGACTAGTAAACTTATACGATTGTCGCGCTGCTATAGGAAGACGATGGTAGCATCCAATAGACACGAGGATTTATACTGGTTCAGGTTGGAGCCCTACGTCTAGTCTCAAAGATGATCGAGTGTGTATTCCTCGATTGAATGCTTTGAAGTTCTTACAATGGGGGTGCAAGAAAGGTGGAAGGCAAAGGGCTGCCCGAAGAGTAGCTTCAGGAGCCCTACTACAATGGTGAATGAATAGAATGGTAGAGGATGTGAATCGTGTCCCGAGATGGGTGCCCTAGCTACCCTTATATAGAGTTCGGGGCTAGGGCTTATACAAAGAGGAGGTTCTCCCGATCGAAGGGTCGAGAGCTTGAGCGAGGGCCTAACTAACTTGGCTTACAAGCTACGCCATCTTCTAGTGCACGTCCGGTCGTGGCTATCGTCATGCCTTTCGCCCCATTGAGACAGGATGTGATGTGGCGCTATTATGCAGCCGTGGTGGCACTGTAGCCTTGATGGTGGTCCGTCAGCCATCCTGTACAACGCGGTGTCCATTGTGGCCTTCGTCATTGTCTCCTAGTTCCTAGGGGCATCATACCTGAAGTAGGTAGCTGCCCCGGGTCGTCGTTCGCTCGGTCGCTTCGCGGGGCCGAGGGCCATGACCCCGATCATCGGGGTCAGGGCACTCTATCGGTCTGGATGGCCTTTTCGTTAAGCCCCTTGTCGTGGATCCTTGTCTCATAGTGGGTGGGATCGTACAAGCGTCTAGTCGGTCCGTATTTGGATGGTGGGTGTCGTACCCGTTGCCACCATGGTGCGGTAGTATGGTACAAGGATGGTGTTTCACCGGGCCAAGGTGATTGTTGTCCCCTCGGTCCTTGTAGGGTCAGTGTGGCATGCTTGTTCTTGTCAGAGCAGGCGCGCCTAGCTACGCTTGACCTCCCCCATCCCTTCTAGGGATCGTGACGGGGAGAGGTTGTGTGTCTTGAGTGTCATGTACTAATGTGGGTGGAAGAGGTTGGGGATGACCCGGTCTTAGGGACTGGCCCGCTCCCTTGGCTTTGCTAGGCCTTAGTCGTTTGGGCCTTCGTTAGCTACTATATTGTGGGCTGCGCGGCCTGCTAACTAATCAGTGCCTTGAGGCACCCTAGGGTTATAACCCCGATAGTAGCCCCCGAGCATTTTTGTGATCATGAAGTGATCATGAAAGCGCTGATGCGTGTGTGTACTGGAGCGCAAGTTCATAGTCATGGCTTTTTGAGCTTCACCACTCGACCCCTATGGGCTTGGTGCATTCAGGATGGTAGTTGGACATTGCGCCCCATCCTGTCCTATCGAAGTGATTATTGAGCCTTGTCGTGTCAGCGTGCCGCTCTTAGGGGTCCGTGACCTAGGCGGGGCCATGTGGTCTCATTGACATTGCATCGGCCCAGCCTTCAGGGAGGTTTTGATTTTCCCAACCTTGTGTGAGCATCTGGTGTTGGCTATGGCTTTCGCGATTCTCTCTTGGGCCTATAAATATTGGCCCTTTGCTTGAGCTATCCGCGATTGTGTCTGAGAACCTATTCTGCTAGTCTTCTTGAGATGCTTGTTCTCGAGAGAGGGGCACTAGTAGGAATATTCACTTCTATGACGATCAGATTTCATCACCGAAGGAGCCAAATTCGTCATAAATTTCAGTTTTATGATGAATTTATGATGAAAATTGGTTCGTCATAGAAGTCGCGTCATACTTAAAATTTTATGATGATTTTTGCAAATTGTCATAGAAGTGGCTTGATCTGTGATAAAAAACAGAACATCATAGAACTATTTTGGCATGCGTGTCGGGAGGGTGCCACGTTGGTGGGTGCTTCCATTGGAGATGCTTTCCACGTGTACATGGTATAGCCGGTTGTATTGGAGATGGTTCGGGTACGTGCCACCTTCTTATTACACAACATGGCCATCTCTGGTTCTTGCATGTTTTAGGTTCTTACTAGACCACATGTCATATTGTTGTTGTTCCACATGTCAGTTTTCTATGGGCACACGTGTCGTGTTGCGGTTGGATCACGTGTCACTTCTTCATTGGACCATGTGGCATATTTTTATTGGTCCACATGGTTGTTTCTTATTCGACCACACATCACAGACTTTCTCGTCCATGTTTCACATTTTTATTCAGCCACATGGCTTGACGACATCCTTCCACATGTTAGATTTTTAATAGCCCACGTGTCGTGCTATGGCTATTTCATGTGTCATGCATTGGTTCCTCCACGTGTCACATTTTCATTTGATCATGTGGCTTGTTCTAGTTCTACCTCGTGGTGTACAATCAATTCATCGTAGAAGTAATTCAAGATCGTCACTACTACATAGATTGACTACATAACAATTCAGCCTGGCAATTAAATAACCACAATTAACATTTCACACATCAGCAGCGAACCACTGACAGAGTATCACAATATCAAACCATCACATGCATCCACATAATAGACCACAAATGTTCACCGTAGGAGTTGAAGATAGAGAGTTAATTACTAGAAGAGCTTAATGCAAGACTAGCTCACTGAGCCTATTGTACTCCTCCTGTTGTTGTTGCTTGAATTCTTCAAGCTCCCTTTCAGCCTTTTCTGTCCTCACCTTCAGTTCATCCACTAGTTTGATGAGCTCAGATGTGCTTTCCTATTCACCAGCAAGCTGCTCCCAAAGTGTCATCTCCGCTGATGTCTCTGCTCTGGTGGAGCTTCTCAAGATACCAGCATTCTTCAAAAAAAGGTTTTTGCTGCTTGCCTAGGAGGGCGCTTGCCCTGGTAGAGGCAAAGAACCTTGGAAACAACATCAACACTAGTCATTGGTTGCTGCCCATTAGCAATAGGTTCTGCATGCATAGCTTTCTATAAAATTCAATCAGTAAAACATTAGGTTAGAGATAGTGGAAGAGGACTTCAACTAAAAACCTAAGAGATTAATTCATAATAAGTAATGTATAGGACTTCCTTAGAGGACTACTGATAGAGATTGCATAAGCACAATGCATAGATCTTTTGCAGCCTACTACCAATGGAGATTACATAAGCACAATATACAGGTACCATATTGAATGGTGTAAAATTACAACTACAAAATTAAATGATTTTGCCACATTAGGCTCCTACTTGCATTTCTTTCTTTTATGGCAATGGGTTCAGTAGATTTTAAGGAAAGCAAATGAAGGTACTTATAACTACTGCTCTTATAGCATCGCTCAGGCCCTTTTTCATACTGGTATGGAAGTCCTTGAAGACTTCCACAACATTAACATCTTCATCAGGTCAACCATGTTGTTCAAGTCCTAGATCATCATGTTGTTCATCAAGTCCTTGATCGTGT